GCAGGAGCAGCACTGCTGGAACTTGTGGCAGCAGCACTGCTGGAACTTGCAGCACCATCACCCTTTTTCAAAGGTGTTTGTTCCTTTGGGCCCTTTTTCAAAGGCACATTTGTCTCTGCATCATTTTCTGCAGGTGCCTTTTCTTCAGGCTGTTCCTTCTTCACTTCAATCTTGATGGCACCCTTTTCTTGCTGACCCTTTTCCAAAGGTTGCTTTTCCTTTGCCTTTTCTTCTGCACCTTTTTCCACAGGTGCCTTTTCCTGTGCACCCTTTTCCAAAGGTGCCTTTTCTGCTGCACCCTTTTCCACAGGTACATCCTTTGCACCTTCTGCAGCAGGCTCTTCAGCAATGGTAGGAGTGTCTTGCAGTGACTTATCATGCCACTGCTGCCTTGCTGCTTCTCTGACCTTCCATTCTTTGCTGCCCTTCCTCAAGGGTGGCCTGTAGTTGCAGCTGGAGCTGCTGCAGCTTGGGCTGGGGCTTGGGGACCTCCCACTCATGGAGTCATCACTTTCACTGCCACTGGCCCCCCTCTCAGCAGACTGCAGCCTCACCTTTCCCCTTTGCAGGGGTGACTGTGACCTCTGAGACCTGGACCTGGAAGAGGACCTGCTTTGGTTCCTCCTCCTTGGCTGGTGCCAGCTGCCACCAGACCAGTCTTGAGCAGTCCAGCCCCAGCTATGCCACTGGGACCCATCATCATCCCATCCTCTTTCCCAAGAGTTCCACTGGTCCCAGTCATATGTTGGGCCATTGCTTTCTGCCCTGTTCTCAGGCTGGAGGTGTCTTCTTTTTTTTCTTGTGAGGCTGGTAGTGCCAGCACCCAACTTCTTCCCAGCCTTGTTTTTGTTGTCACCTTTTGCAAGGTGTTTTCTCAATGACTTCCAGAGCCAGGATGGGCTGTCTTTGTTGAGCACCATCCCTTCTTGGTAGCCAGAGCACCCTTGTGGCAAGGGTGTATCCATCTTCCCTTTGGCAAGGGATCCCTCTGGCAAGGGTCCCTTTTCCAAGGGATGTGTTGGTGACACACTGTCACTGGGCGAAAAAAAACCTTTGCTTTAAAAAAGCTTGTAGCCAAGGCTGCAGCATGCATGCACCCAAGGTTCAACCAACCAACACTAAAACATCAACCCTTTACCCTTGGTGGTTTAATCCCCTTACTTTTTTTTTGTTGGTCTTAATCCCTTACATGTTTTTGTTTTTTTTTTGGGGGGGGTCTACATTCCTTACCATTTAATTGGTTGAAGGTCTGAACAATTTTACCCTTATTTTGATCCCTTATATGCCCCTGAGTGTTTTGTGGTTTTTGTTGGTTGTTAACATTAAAAATTCCCTTAGACTGTTTTGGTGGGTTTCCCCTGGTCACCCCCATCCCAAGCTGCAGCTATTTACATTTTGCCACATGTCCTGCCTAAGTCATGTGTTTAGCCACACAGAATAGTGTGGCATTTCAAAAACCAAAAACTGTACAGTGGATACCCTTTTGCAAAGGTATTTGTGGCAGGCTAATGGAACTGAAAACCCTTTTGCAAAGGTTTCCTTGGCAGCCTGCTTGTGCATATGTGTTCACACATGTTCTCACCCTTTTTCAAAGGTGTGCCTTTTGCCTAGCTGACACCCTTTTGCAAAGGTGCACCCTTTTGCAAAGGTTGCACCCTTTTGCAAAGGTGGCACCCTTTTGCAAAGGTGGCCCCCACAAACTGATTAGCAACCTTTTTTCAAAGGTGTTCTGCATTCACTTGTACTTATTGCAAAGCTCCTCCTTGAGGGCCTTTGCCTCTTCTTTGCTCAATTGGTCCTTTTCCAAGGCTGCCTTGATCTTGTCAATGATCATATTGTATTTGCTGCTCTTGGCCCTGCTGACTTCTACAATGAGCCTGCTTTTCTCACCAATTGTCTGGGTACCACACAGGTATGCTCTTTCAGGCTTCTTTGCTTTTGTCTTATTGATACTGAGCCATTTTTTCCTTGCAGTAGGCACAGCATTTTTTTCAATGCAGCACTTGGCTTCTTCAGAGCTGCAGGCTTTTTATTTTTTTGGTGCTTGCACCAAAAACTGCTTCCCTGAGCTCTGGGTTTGCCTTCACATCTCCCATGAGCTGGCATGTGTTGGACCTCTTTTGCAAGAGTCTGCTGGGTCCTGCCTTTCCTTTGTCCACCTTCTCAGGTGTCACAGCTTCAGGTGTCTTCAGCAAAGATGGGTACCCTTTTGAATCCATAGACACATCACTGATCTCTTTCTTCAATTTCTTCTTGCTTGGCTGAGGGCTTTCATCTCCATTTTCCAATGGTGCTGGCAAAGCTTCTTCCCCATCCCTCAGTTCCACCTTTTTCAAGGTGTTGTTCAACTTTGCCATTTCCAAGGCAGTCAGGCTGGAAGCGCATTTGCTATTGGTGCCTTGCCTGGCAAGCCTTCTGAAATGGCTCAGCAGCACAGAAACCCTCTCTGACCTCTGATGGACCCATATGGATCCACTGTGTGTAGTCTGATTCAAATGTGGCTTGGCAGTCGACACCCTTAAGAATGCAGACCTCAGTGGCTGGCAATGCACTTCACATGCTGGTGCTACCTCAAGCAAATCATCGATGAAATCTATGGCATGCATTATGCCTTTTGGGTCAATAGCTCCTTGGGATGAAATTGACTCATATGTCTTAAAATTCTTCATGAGGTCCTCATGCTTGGAGAGCAAGTCAAAAAGAAGCCCTGCTTCCACCCAAGGCTTGGCAAAGTGCCTAGGGCCCCCTTTTTTGTTGGCCATCCCTTCTTCAAGGTTTCCTTTTTACAAAGGTTTCCCTTGGCAAAGGGACCCTTTTCCAAAGGTTTGTAAGTGGTCTCCTTGGCGATGGAGATGATGCCCCTATAGCAGCTACTCAAGATTGAACAAAAAAGGCTGCAGAGATGCTATACATTGATGTTCAACATATACAGGAGGGACATGGAAACCATAATTGGAATTTATGCAAAAATCAACATTAACATCATAAACAACCCAGAAAAAACAATGCAAAAAATCAAAAAAAACAAGAGAAAAAATCAAAAAAATCAATAGAAAAAAACAAAAAAACAACAAGAGAAAAACCAATAAAAAAACAATAAAATCAATAGAAAAAAAACAATAAAAAAAATCAATAAAAAAAAAATCAATAGACAAAATCAATAAAAAAAATCAATAAAAACATCAAAAAGAAATCAATATAGAAATCAATAAAAAAAAATCAATGCTAGATAACCAAAAAATCAAACAGAGACTTTTCAATAGAATCAATATTTTTTTCAAAAAAAAAATCAATAGAAAACATAGGGGAGACTATTGATTGGAATCAATATTCGATGCTCAGGGTATACTTTGGGACCCCCCCCCCCTACCCGACATGATCGCCTTCGCAGGTGTACCGGGGATATTCCATCCCTTCAAGAAAAACGCGGGGGTATCAACCAGGTTTTGGAATATGTTTAAAGAAAACATGTTGTTGAATAATTTTCCTAAGCAGTGGGCCTACGGATGTGCATATTGGAATATGCGAATTATAATCTAAGCCTTCAAATATACCCTGGAATAACTATGTTTTGACATAACTTCATCTAAATTTTAAATGGTTGAACAAAAAAAGATTTAAAAAAAACACTTGGGGATTCCCGCAAAAAAAATGTTCAACCATCATCTTCATCACTGGGTTCTTTCCTACATATTTCAATTTTTTTCATACTTCCCCACATTTCTCTCACATTCCCTTCATTTCCTTCCAAAGAACACTCGGTGGGAATGACTGTGAAAGGGAAAGCATTCGGTGTTTATTTTTTTTTTCAGCTGGCAGCTGCTCACTTTGATTTTTGAGGAGTGCAGAGTATCTCCAATACCCCTAGAATAATTTCTTCCCTTGGGAAATCCAACGGAATGGTATTCAACCTGGCCCTTTCCTGTAGTGACACTGTAGTGATTTTCCTAACCTGTCATATTTCCCATTATTTCTCCCATATTCCCTTCATTTCCCTCCAAAGAACTCATTTTTGGGAAGCGTTCGGTTTTGATAGGTTTTTCATTTTTTTTCCAGTTTCTGGGCGAGTTGGATGGTTCTGGCAGCTGCTCACTTTGATTTTTGGGAAGGGCAGGATATCTCCACTACCCCTAGAATAATTTCTTCTCTTGGGAAATCCCACAGAATAGTATTCAACCTGGCCCTTTCCTGTAGTGATTTTCCTAACCTGTCATATTTCCCATTATTTCTCCCATATTCCCTTCATTTCCCTCCAAAGAACTCTTTTTTGGGAAGCGTTCGGTTTTGATAGGTTTTTCATTTGTTTCCAGTATATGGACGGGTTTGATGGTTCTGGCAGCTGCTCACTTTGATTTTTGAGGAGTGCAGGGTATCTCCAATACCCCTAAAATAATTTCTCCGCTTGGGAAACCCCACAAAATAGTATTCCTTTCCTGTAGTGATTTTCCTAACCTGTCATATTTCCTCTTATTTCTCCCATATTCCCTTCATTTCCCTCCAAAGAACTCTTTTTTGGGAAGCGCTCGGATTTTATAGATTGTTCAATTGTTTCCAGTTTATGGGCGAGTTGGATGGTTCTGGCAGCTGCTCACTTTGAATTTTGGGTGCAAGGCATCTCCAATACCCCTAGAATAATTTCTCCTCTTGGGAAATCGCACAAAATGGTATTCAACTTAGCTCTTTGCTATAGTTGTTTTTCTAGCCTTTCATGTTTTTCCCTCTTTCTCCCATATTTCCTTCATTTCCCTCCAAAGAATTTTTTTTGGGAAGCGTTCGGTTTTGATAGGTTTTTCATTTTTTTCCAGTTTCTGGGCGAGTTGGATGGTTCTGGCAGCTGCTCACTTTGGTTTTTCTGCTCACTTTGGGAAAACTCTTTGGCCATTCGAACATGAAGCTTCGCTTCAAAGCCTTAAAACCTTAGCCTTAGAGACTCATGAAGCCTCCGAATTTCATCGAATTTCCACATGCACCAACTGGAGCCAAGATCAACCGACATCGACTCAGTCCATCCTCAGCTTAGCGACCCGTCGGTCTGCCAGGTCTAGCATGTCGAGCTGGGTAGCCCTCGTCAATGGATTCCCGCGCAGATCCAAAGTGCTGAGACGTGAAAGGTTGAAGAGCCTAGAGTCCAGGTTGCCTTGGCGGTGACACTTTTCCACATACAAGCCGCTAGAAGGAACAACTTTACTGCGGATGGCATACCATTGCTTGTTAGCGGAACACGTTTAGATCCTTGAAAAAAGTGTTCCAGAAAAAACAAAATGCAAACTCAAAGTTGTTAGGATATGGCCCCCCAAGATGCTCAGCTGGTTGTAGCTCAGGTCGAGGACTTCCAGGCCGCTGAGGCTATCAAAGAGACCAGAAGGAAGTTCTTCCAAGGCGTTTTGGCTCAAATTGAGCTTTTGCAAAGAAGCCAAAAGCCTCATAGAATGCACATGGTGCACACAACCCAACAGTGGCGGGGAGGAAAGGTTAAAGACCTAGACCATCCTGGACCAGGCACCAGTTCCGGACAGACCCTGGCCCAGTTTTCAAGTCATGATCTATATGGGCAAGGTGGGCAGCAAATAAATGTAACGAAATAATACTAAATATTAATATGATGGAAACCAAACAGAAAGATATCTAAACAAATGTGGGCAAGTGCTCGTGAACTGGAACCTGATCAACCTCCACAATCGGATCGACGCTCAATAAACCACTTAATTCATCATCAGGAACCCAGTATTGCGAATTCTTGCGTTCCAAAATTGACGGCGGCTAGATATCTACCCTACCTAAACTACCCCCCCCCCCTCCCCCCCTCCTCAAAATGATTTCCAAAATTATTTTCAGGGGGTTGATAGTGTCTTCGGTTGTTATACGAAACAACCCTCTTTAGGGTAAAATAATTTCTTACGATAGACCCCCCCCTTCCCCTTCATCGACGGTGGTGAACCTTCGTAAAAATTATTTCAACCCCTGGGGAGGTAATTATTTTGCCCCCCTCCGGAGACTCCCATCTTTACATATGTACCCTGAGCATCGAATATTGATTACAATCAATAGAATCAATATGGTCCCAAAATCTAAAAAAAATCAATTGGAAAATATTGATTTTGCTGAAAAAATAATCAATAAAAAAGGATAGGGAAACTGAAAGCAAAAATCAATATAAAAATCAAATAGAAAATCAATATAAAAATCAAAGAAAAAATCAATATAAAAATCAAAGAAAAAATCAATATAAAAATCAAAGAAAAAATCAATATAAAATTCAAAGAAAGCAATATAACAATCAAAGATTCAGTGGTCAAAGCCAGGGAGCTGCAATGCAATACATGTTTGGCAAGCCTGATGTATATAGGCACTAGGGGTGCTGGCTGCCCAAAAGCAAACAAGAATAACCAGATGCCTTAAAAGTTGGATGGGTCATCATTGCATGGGACAGCCAGAATTGCCCAGGTGAAACATGCAATCTGCATCCCTAAAGGAAAGAGCATCACCTTTTCTCAAAGGTCCCAACCTTTTCCCAAAGGTTTCAACACCCCTATCTCAAAGGTATCAGCACCACCCTTTTTCAAAGGTTTCAACCTTTTCCCAAAGGTTTCAACACCCCTTTCTCAAAGGTATCAGCAGCACCTTTTCTCAAAGGTTTCAACCTTTTCCCAAAGTTTCTATTCATGGCATCACTAATCAGGCACAAGGGAAAAATTGTCTCTTGTTAACAAGAGATGTACCAAAATTCTATACTTGGGCCCTACTTTTTTGCATAGCTTGCTTGATCTGACACCAGGGGATATTGAAAACACCAATTGGGACATTTGGGATACAAAGTCTTCGCATGCAAAGCACCAAGAAGCTTTGGGGTTCAAAAATTTGGAATTCTCAGCTAGATGCTGAAAGGTGTGGAACTTGTGCACCACATGGAACAAGAGCTTCCCTTCTTCAAGGGCCCAGTCTCTCAAAAAGCTGTATGTATCCAAGAACCCTTTTGCAAAGGTCATGGCATCCTTGTACTCAGCTGCAGTTGGGATCACATCAGCTCTGTTGTAAACATCCACAAGCTGCTGCATGTTCTGCATAGCATCCAGCATGCAAGATTCATGCCAGATATCCTTCTTCAGCAAGGATTTGCAGACCTGCAAGAAAGCAGGTAGAAAATGTTTGGATTCACTGCCTTTCAGGGACAGTGCAGGGTGTGCTGCATGCGGTTTTGCAGGGTCGACAAACATTGAAAGCTTCAAATTGGTGACTCTTGTTGTTGGCTGGGTTTCCTCATATGCCTTTTGCAAGGCTGCCCACACAAGTGACAACCTCTCCTGTGGGGATTTCTTTTGTCTACCTGGCCCATCATGGTACACCAAGTAGTGCAAGACTGAGCCAATCAAGTGGGAATAAATTCCATGAACCCACAAGATATGAAGGGCATCCCCCCTGACAAATTTGGTAGTCAGGCCTGGCACTTGATGGAAAAGTGGATGATTGGAAGGAGGGTTCTCAGCAGCTTCACTATTGCTAGTGTATTTAAAGTTTTGCTTGTCCATTTCGATTGTCTTGAACCATTTAGATTCATCTGCATTGGATGACACACAGTCACATTCCATGCAAGGCGCCTTGCTCCCCCAATGTGGGAGACCAAGGTGGTTGGAGAAGAATTCTGCATCACCTTGGATGCTCCACACCACTGCCCTGTAGCCAGAGCAGAGTGCTTTTCCTCTTTGCTCATAAAATGGAGAACCCTTTTTCAAAGGTTTACCCATGGCATCATGCATGGGATGGGTCCCTTGCACAAGGGCATTCAGAGACCAGCAAACTTGCTGCATGATCTCACACCAGGTTTCAGGTGCAGTTGCTGTTTTTGGGAAGCATGATATCAGGAACCTGGTTTCCAGTGGTGAGAAGTTGGTCATCAGAGGGCCCCATGACCAACACATCAATGAATCTCTAACAGCATACTCCACACCATCGCCATGGAGCCAAATTGGGATTGTTCTTTTCTTCCAATTCCTACTTTTGCAAGGGTGGTCCTGTAGCCTGGGGTCCTTTGTTTTTTCCACTTCAGTCCAAAATTGCTCCACTTTCTCAAGTGGGAAAATCTCATGGAAGTTGTCCAGCTTGGACAGCTCACTGAACATTATGTGTGGTAGAAAAATTGATCCCAACACCTTCTCCTTTTTCAAGGATTTTGGATCAATGCAAGTTACTTCCAGGTCCATTGGCTCTGGAACACATACATTCTTCACAAACCTGCACATGAGGTCTCTATGTATGTTTCCAGGTACTTTGCCATAATTGCCTGTTTTGGCCATGTCATGAAGTTCCACATGGTTGCAGCCACCCAAGCAAGCTGCATGGGCTAGTTTTCTTATCTGTGTGCCTGAAAGCTTTCCATGTGCCCATAAGCTGAGAAGAGCAGTTGCTAGGTTACTTTCCTTCCCTTCCTCAAGGGTGTTTTCCCGTTTTTGCTTTCTGGTGCTACCCATGGCTTCTTCCAGCTTCCAGCCTCTAAGCCTTTTGGCCATACCCTTTCTAGAGAGCTACCCTTTTACAAAGGTTGCCCAAAACCAAATCCCTTGCAAAAGGGTGCCCTTTAACAAGGGTCTGCTATGACACTTCCACCTGTATGGCTAGAAGCTCCTGTAGTTTGAGCCAGTTGAATGCAGCATGGATGCACTGAAATTATTGAAACATGTTGACAAGCAAAACCACAGCCAAACAAAACCAGAAACCACCAACCCCCCCCCCCACTGCAGCAAGTTAGACAGAAAAAGAAACTCCACCACATTTATTTTTTTCCAAAAACCATGGCAGTCAGCTAGCTAAGGCTCTGTACATGGTGCCTTGCTTTGATGGCAGCCAAATTCTGAAAAACACCCCTCAGTGGGAAGTTGCCTCCCCTAAGTGTGCCACCCTTTCCCAAGGGTGCTACCCTTCCCCAAGGGTATTTCCAACAGTTTGCTGGTGATCCCCTCTTTCAAGGGTTCATGGTTTCCTGGTGGTTCCCTCTTTCAAGGGTTACCCTTCTGCAAAGGTAATTTGTGCCATTTACTGTTTGGATGCTTTGGAGTGGGTCCTCATGCTGATTTGAACCAATTCCTTTGCTTCCTCCTTTGCATCTTTCAAGGCTTTCACAGCATCCAAAACCACTTGCTTCAACCTGTCCAGCTTATTGTCTTCACCTTTTGCAAGGTGGTTCTTCACAGTTTTCAAAGCAGCACCCAAATCACTCAGGGATGCCTCTTTCTCCTTCAGTGCTGCCTTGGTGAGGTACCCGCACTTCCTGACCTTGTTCAGGGCTTCCTCATAGTTGGCTGAAGTTGAAGCCAGCAAGTCCCTGGTCCTCTTCAATTTTCCCAAGGCCTCATGCATTTGCTCCTCAGGTGTCATGTCTTCAAGTGCTTTGGGTTGCCTTGGAGTTTTCTCATTCCCTTTTTTTCTGTTGTGTGTGTCTCCATTCCCCTTTCCAGAGGTGTTCTTCCCTTTCCCCTTTCCAGAGGTGCCAGAAATCAGGCCCATCAGGTCTTTGTCCAGCTGCTCTTGCCAAGGCAGTTCTTCCTCCTTGGGTGCTGCTGGAACTCTTGGGCAATCATCCAGCTACTCAGCTGCCTTCCTGTGAACTTCCTGCTGTAGTTCTGGTTGTCCATGTATTCCCAAACCCCCCAAGTGGAGGTCTCCCTGGATACCACCCTGCCACTTTCAAGGTGTTTGTCCAGGTCATCTCTGCCCCATTTCTCAATGGCTTCCCTTTCACTCAGCCAATCTTCCTTTTTGGTAAGGGCTTTCTCCATGTTAATTTGCTTGCTGACTGAACAAAACTTTGGGGCTTCAGCCCTCATCAGAAACAAAGCGCTCTTGAGCCCTTTTTCCTTCCTGGAACTGTTGTCAAACTCATCCTTTTCTTCCTCATTTCCACACTTTTTCAAGTGTGCATCATACTTGTTCCAGGCCTTTGTTTTTTCAGCTGCTGTCATGCTCTCTTTCAAGACCATGGCTGCCTCCACTTCATCTTCATGCTCTTCTGCAATTTTTTTGACCTTGTCTTTCAGGGACATTTGCCCCAATTTTGCCAAGTTTCCCCTTCTCAGGGGTGACAGGTTTGCACTTGGTCTTTTCAAAATCCCTTTCTTTAAAGGTGGGCCCCCTTTTCCCAAAGGTTGCTGCCCCTTCTGCAAAGGTTTGCCTCCTTTTTGCAAAGGTTTTTTAACTGTTTTCATTGCCTTCATAGCCATTGTTTTGGGCATCCTTTTCCCAAAGGTAAAATGGCGATTGCCCAGCTGATCTAGATTTGCAGCCAAAATGGCTGCCCAAATGCAAAGAGTCACACCCCTTCTGGATGAAAATTGAAAATTTCCCAACCAAATTGTGCCTGGATACAAAATGATGAAACATGATGAAACATGATGAAACATGATGAAACATGATGAAACATGATGAAATCATCACTTTTCATCATGTTTCATCATGCTTCATCATGTTTCATCATTTTTCATTTCCCCTCAAAAAAACATTGGTGGGCCCCAATCAGTACCCTCTAACCGGTGTTTGTCTTTTGGGTGGTTCCCCATAGTTCTCCTTACAGGTCCCTTTACATACCCTTCAATCCCTTTTTGGTGGTCCCTTAATATTTTGGGGGAATTTTGGTGGTGCCTCACCACCAGAGTGCTCTGCCACTTTGTGCCTGTGTGGCCTTGCAGGTATGTGTTCACCTGGCTGCTGCCACAAAACCAAAACAAACAACAACACCATTTTAATTTGACTATCATTGTTTGAACATTCTAGTTAAACATTGGGCAGCAGCCATGTGGTGAGCAAAAACATGCAGGTGAAACAATCCCTTTCTCGAAGGATTTGAATTATGCTGGCACCCTTTTGCAAAGGTGGTTTGAAACCAAAATGGATCCCCTTCTTCAAGGGTTTTTTTTTGGACCCTTTCCCAAAGGTCATTTGCTTGGACCCTTTTTCAAAGGTCATTTGTTTGGACCCTTTTTCAAAGGTCTTTTTCTTGGACCCTTTTTTCAAAGGTCAAGGGGTGCACTCACTTTTCTTCCTCCTGGTAAAGAAGGTATTCTTCCACAGCATGTTCAAAGGAATCAAAAATCCTCCCACCTCTCTTCAGCCACCACCCATGCCTTGTTCTGCTGGTGGAGATGGGAAAGATTTCAATCCCTTCTTCAAGGGCTGCCTCAAGGATGTCTCCACTGTCATCCATGATGGCTTGGCACCCCCTTTCTTTGCAGATGCCACTCTTGCCAGTGGGGCCTGTCCTGTGCTCTGTTGTGAAGCAGGCCTCCAGCCTGCCAAACCAGGGCTGCCTCCTCATATGCCCCATCACTTTGGCTGCCCTGTTTTTGTAGCACCAGCTGCACACAGTCACTTTTACCCCTGCATCCAGGAGTTTGACCATGGCAGCTGACCTCTGTGGGCTGATGTAGTCATCCAGGGACAGCACATTGTGATAGTCAACCATCACATGTGGCTGACTTTTGGCAGGGGCAGCACTGCTGGAACTTGTGGCAGCAGCACTGCTGGAACTTGCAGCACCATCACCCTTTTTCAAAGGTGTTTGTTCCTTTGGGCCCTTTTTCAAAGGCACATTTGTCTCTGCATCATTTTTTGCAGGTGCCTTTTCTTCAGGCTGTTCCTTCTTCACTTCAATCTTGATGGCACCCTTTTCTTGCTGGCCCTTTTCCAAAGGTTGCTTTTCCTTTGCCTTTTCTTCTGCACCTTTTTCCACAGGTGCCTTTTCCTGTGCACCCTTTTCCAAAGGTGCCTTTTCTGCTGCACCCTTTTCCACAGGTACATCCTTTGCACCTTCTGCAGCAGGCTCTTCAGCAATGGTAGGAGTGTCTTGCAGTGACTTATCATGCCACTGCTGCCTTGCTGCTTCTCTGACCTTCCATTCTTTGCTGCCCTTCCTCAAGGGTGGCCTGTAGTTGCAGCTGGAGCTGCTGCAGCTTGGGCTGGGGCTTGGGGACCTCCCACTCATGGAGTCATCACTTTCACTGCCACTGGCCCCCCTCTCAGCAGACTGCAGCCTCACCTTTCCCCTTTGCAGGGGTGACTGTGACCTCTGAGACCTGGACCTGGAAGAGGACCTGCTTTGGTTCCTCCTCCTTGGCTGGTGCCAGCTGCCACCAGACCAGTCTTGAGCAGTCCAGCCCCAGCTATGCCACTGGGACCCATCATCATCCCATCCTCTTTCCCAAGAGTTCCACTGGTCCCAGTCATATGTTGGGCCATTGCTTTCTGCCCTGTTCTCAGGCTGGAGGTGTCTTCTTTTTTTTCTTGTGAGGCTGGTAGTGCCAGCACCCAACTTCTTCCCAGCCTTGTTTTTGTTGTCACCTTTTGCAAGGTGTTTTCTCAATGACTTCCAGAGCCAGGATGGGCTGTCTTTGTTGAGCACCATCCCTTCTTGGTAGCCAGAGCACCCTTGTGGCAAGGGTGTATCCATCTTCCCTTTGGCAAGGGATCCCTCTGGCAAGGGTCCCTTTTCCAAGGGATGTGTTGGTGACACACTGTCACTGGGCGAAAAAAAACCTTTGCTTAAAAAAAGCTTGTAGCCAAGGCTGCAGCATGCATGCACCCAAGGTTCAACCAACCAACACTAAAACATCAACCCTTTACCCTTGGTGGTTTAATCCCCTTACTTTTTTTTTGTTGGTCTTAATCCCTTACATGTTTTTGTTTTTTTTTGGGGGGGGGTCTACATTCCTTACCATTTAATTGGTTGAAGGTCTGAACAATTTTACCCTTATTTTGATCCCTTATATGCCCCTGAGTGTTTTGTGGTTTTTGTTGGTTGTTAACATTAAAAATTCCCTTAGACTGTTTTGGTGGGTTTCCCCTGGTCACCCCCATCCCAAGCTGCAGCTATTTACATTTTGCCACATGTCCTGCCTAAGTCATGTGTTTAGCCACACAGAATAGTGTGGCATTTCAAAAACCAAAAACTGTACAGTGGATACCCTTTTGCAAAGGTATTTGTGGCAGGCTAATGGAACTGAAAACCCTTTTGCAAAGGTTTCATTGGCAGCCTGCTTGTGCATATGTGTTCACACATGTTCTCACCCTTTTTCAAAGGTGTGCCTTTTGCCTAGCTGACACCCTTTTGCAAAGGTGCACCCTTTTGCAAAGGTTGCACCCTTTTGCAAAGGTGGCACCCTTTTGCAAAGGTGGCCCCCACAAACTGATTAGCAACCTTTTTTCAAAGGTGTTCTGCATTCACTTGTACTTATTGCAAAGCTCCTCCTTGAGGGCCTTTGCCTCTTCTTTGCTCAATTGGTCCTTTTCCAAGGCTGCCTTGATCTTGTCAATGATCATATTGTATTTGCTGCTCTTGGCCCTGCTGACTTCTACAATGAGCCTGCTTTTCTCACCAATTGTCTGGGTACCACACAGGTATGCTCTTTCAGGCTTCTTTGCTTTTGTCTTATTGATACTGAGCCATTTTTTCCTTGCAGTAGGCACAGCATTTTTTTCAATGCAGCACTTGGCTTCTTCAGAGCTGCAGGCTTTTTATTTTTTTGGTGCTTGCACCAAAAACTGCTTCCCTGAGCTCTGGGTTTGCCTTCACATCTCCCATGAGCTGGCATGTGTTGGACCTCTTTTGCAAGAGTCTGCTGGGTCCTGCCTTTCCTTTGTCCACCTTCTCAGGTGTCACAGCTTCAGGTGTCTTCAGCAAAGATGGGTACCCTTTTGAATCCATAGACACATCACTGATCTCTTTCTTCAATTTCTTCTTGCTTGGCTGAGGGCTTTCATCTCCATTTTCCAATGGTGCTGGCAAAGCTTCTTCCCCATCCCTCAGTTCCACCTTTTTCAAGGTGTTGTTCAACTTTGCCATTTCCAAGGCAGTCAGGCTGGAAGCGCATTTGCTATTGGTGCCTTGCCTGGCAAGCCTTCTGAAATGGCTCAGCAGCACAGAAACCCTCTCTGACCTCTGATGGACCCATATGGATCCACTGTGTGTAGTCTGATTCAAATGTGGCTTGGCAGTCGACACCCTTAAGAATGCAGACCTCAGTGGCTGGCAATGCACTTCACATGCTGGTGCTACCTCAAGCAAATCATCGATGAAATCTATGGCATGCATTATGCCTTTTGGGTCAATAGCTCCTTGGGATGAAATTGACTCATATGTCTTAAAATTCTTCATGAGGTCCTCATGCTTGGAGAGCAAGTCAAAAAGAAGCCCTGCTTCCACCCAAGGCTTGGCAAAGTGCCTAGGGCCCCCTTTTTTGTTGGCCATCCCTTCTTCAAGGTTTCCTTTTTACAAAGGTTTCCCTTGGCAAAGGGACCCTTTTCCAAAGGTTTGTAAGTGGTCTCCTTGGCGATGGAGATGATGCCCCTATAGCAGCTACTCAAGATTGAACAAAAAAGGCTGCAGAGATGCTATACATTGATGTTCAACATATACAGGAGGGACATGGAAACCATAATTGGAATTTATGCAAAAATCAACATTAACATCATAAACAACCCAGAAAAAACAATGCAAAAAATCAAAAAAACAAGAGAAAAAATCAAAAAAAACAATAGAAAAAAACAAAAAAAACAACAAGAGAAAAACCAATAAAAAAACAATAAAATCAATAGAAAAAAAACAATAAAAAAAATCAATAAAAAAAATCAATAAAATCAATAGACAAAATCAATAAAAAAATCAATAAAAACATCAAAAAGAAATCAATATAGAAATCAATAAAAAAAATCAATGCTAGATAACCAAAAAATCAAACAGAGACTTTTCAATAGAATCAATATTTTTTTCAAAAAAAAAATCAATAGAAAACATAGGGGAGACTATTGATTGGAATCAATATTCGATGCTCAGGGTATACTTTGGGACCCCCCCCCCCTACCCGACATGATCGCCTTCGCAGGTGTACCGGGGATATTCCATCCCTTCAAGAAAAACGCGGGGGTATCAACCAGGTTTTGGAATATGTTTAAAGAAAACATGTTGTTGAATAATTTTCCTAAGCAGTGGGCCTACGGATGTGCATATTGGAATATGCGAATTATAATCTAAGCCTTCAAATATACCCTGGAATAACTATGTTTTGACATAACTTCATCTAAATTTTAAATGGTTGAACAAAAAAAGATTTAAAAAAAACACTTGGGGATTCCCGCAAAAAAAATGTTCAACCATCATCTTCATCACTGGGTTCTTTCCTACATATTTCAATTTTTTTCATACTTCCCCACATTTCTCTCACATTCCCTTCATTTCCTTCCAAAGAACACTCGGTGGGAATGACTGTGAAAGGGAAAGCATTCGGTGTTTAATTTTTTTTTCAGCTGGCAGCTGCTCACTTTGATTTTTGAGGAGTGCAGAGTATCTCCAATACCCCTAGAATAATTTCTTCCCTTGGGAAATCCCACGGAATGGTATTCAACCTGGCCCTTTCCTGTAGTGACACTGTAGTGATTTTCCTAACCTGTCATATTTCCCATTATTTCTCCCATATTCCCTTCATTTCCCTCCAAAGAACTCATTTTTGGGAAGCGTTCGGTTTTGATAGGTTTTTCATTTTTTTTCCAGTTTCTGGGCGAGTTGGATGGTTCTGGCAGCTGCTCACTTTGATTTTTGGGAAGGGCAGGATATCTCCACTACCCCTAGAATAATTTCTTCTCTTGGGAAATCGCACAAAATGGTATTCAACCTGGCCCTTTCCTGTAGTGATTTTCCTAACCTGTCATATTTCCCATTATTTCTCCCATATTCCCTTCATTTCCCTCCAAAGAACTCATTTTTGGGAAGCGTTCGGTTTTGATAGGTTTTTCATTTGTTTCCAGTATATGGACGAGTTTGATGGTTCTGGCAGCTGCTCACTTTGATTTTTGAGGAGTGCAGGGTATCTCCAATACCCCTAAAATAATTTCTCCGCTTGGGAAATCCCACAAAATAGTATTCCTTTCCTGTAGTGATTTTCCTAACCTGTCATATTTCCTCTTATTTCTCCCGTATTCCCTTCATTTCCCTCCAAAGAACTCTTTTTTGGGAAGCGTTCGGATTTTATAGATTGTTCAATTGTTTCCAGTTTATGGGCGAGTTGGATGGTTCTGGCAGCTGCTCACTTTGAATTTTGGGAAGTGCAAGGCATCTCCAATACCCCTAGAATAATTTCTCCTCCTGGGAAATCGCACAAAATGGTATTCAACTTAGCTCTTTGCTATAGTGGTTTTTCTAGCCTTTCATGTTTTTCCCTCTTTCTCCCATATTTCCTTCATTTCCCTCCAAAGAATTTTTTTTGGGAAGCGTTCGGTTTTGATAGGTTTTTCATTTTTTCCAGTTTCTGGGCGAGTTGGATGGTTCTGGCAGCTGCTCACTTTGGTTTTTCTGCTCACTTTGGGAAAACTCTTTGGCCATTCGAACATGAAGCTTCGCTTCAAAGCCTTAAAACCTTAGCCTTAGAGACTCATGAAGCCTCCGAATTTCATCGAATTTCCACATGCACCAACTGGAGCCAAGATCAACCGACATCGACTCAGTCCATCCTCAGCTTAGCGACCCGTCGGTCTGCCAGGTCTAGCATGTCGAGCTGGGTAGCCCTCGTCAATGGATTCCCGCGCAGATCCAAAGTGCTGAGACGTGAAAGGTTGAAGAGCCTAGAGTCCAGGTTGCCTTGGCGGTGACACTTTTCCACATACAAGCCGCTAGAAGGAACAACTTTACTGCGGATGGCATACCATTGCTTGTTAGCGGAACACGTTTAGATCCTTGAAAAAAGTGTTCCAGAAAAAACAAAATGCAAACTCAAAGTTGTTAGGATATGGCCCCCCAAGATGCTCAGCTGGTTGTAGCTCAGGTCGAGGACTTCCAGGCCGCTGAGGCTATCAAAGAGACCAGAAGGAAGTTCTTCCAAGGCGTTTTGGCTCAAATTGAGCTTTTGCAAAGAAGCCAAAAGCCTCATAGAATGCACATGGTGCACACAACCCAACAGTGGCGGGGAGGAAAGGTTAAAGACCTAGACCATCCTGGACCAGGCACCAGTTCCGGACAGACCCTGGCCCAGTTTTCAAGTCATGATCTATATGGGCAAGGTGGGCAGCAAATAAATGTAACGAAATAATACTAAATATTAATATGATGGAAACCAAACAGAAAGATATCTAAACAAATGTGGGCAAGTGCTCGTGAACTGGAACCTGATCAACCTCCACAATCGGATCGACGCTCAATAAACCACTTAATTCATCATCAGGAACCCAGTATTGCGAATTCTTGCGTTCCAAAATTGACGGCGGCTAGATATCTACCCTACCTAAACTACCCCCCCCCCCTCCCCCCCTCCTCAAAATGATTTCCAAAATTATTTTCAGGGGGTTGATAGTGTCTTCGGTTGTTATACGAAACAACCCTCTTTAGGGTAAAATAATTTCTTACGATAGACCCCCCCCTCCCCTTCATCGACGGTGGTGAACCTTCGTAAAAATTATTTCAACCCCTGGGGAGGTAATTATTTTGCCCCCCTCCGGAGACTCCCATCTTTACATATGTACCCTGAGCATCGAATATTGATTACAATCAATAGAATCAATATGGTCCCAAAATCTAAAAAAAATCAATTGGAAAATATTGATTTTGCTGAAAAAATAATCAATAAAAAAGGATAGGGAAACTGAAAGCAAAAATCAATATAAAAATCAAATAGAAAATCAATATAAAAATCAAAGAAAAAATCAATATAAAAATCAAAGAAAAAATCAATATAAATTCAAAGAAAGCAATATAACAATCAAAGATTCAGTGGTCAAAGCCAGGGAGCTGCAATGCAATACATGTTTGGCAAGCCTGATGTATATAGGCACTAGGGGTGCTGGCTGCCCAAAAGCAAACAAGAATAACCAGATGCCTTAAAAGTTGGATGGGTCATCATTGCATGGGACAGCCAGAATTGCCCAGGTGAAACATGCAATCTGCATCCCTAAAGGAAAGAGCATCACCTTTTCTCAAAGGTCCCAACCTTTTCCCAAAGGTTTCAACACCCCTATCTCAAAGGTATCAGCACCACCCTTTTTCAAAGGTTTCAACCTTTTCCCAAAGGTTTCAACACCCCTTTCTCAAAGGTATCAGCAGCACCTTTTCTCAAAGGTTTCAACCTTTTCCCAAAGTTTCTATTCATGGCATCACTAATCAGGCACAAGGGAAAAATTGTCTCTTGTTAACAAGAGATGTACCAAAATTCTATACTTGGGCCCTACTTTTTTGCATAGCTTGCTTGATCTGACACCAGGGGATATTGAAAACACCAATTGGGACATTTGGGATACAAAGTCTTCGCATGCAAAGCACCAAGAAGCTTTGGGGTTCAAAAATTTGGAATTCTCAGCTAGATGCTGAAAGGTGTGGAACTTGTGCACCACATGGAACAAGAGCTTCCCTTCTTCAAGGGCCCAGTCTCTCAAAAAGCTGTATGTATCCAAGAACCCTTTTGCAAAGGTCATGGCATCCTTGTACTCAGCTGCAGTTGGGATCACATCAGCTCTGTTGTAAACATCCACAAGCTGCTGCATGTTCTGCATAGCATCCAGCATGCAAGATTCATGCCAGATATCCTTCTTCAGCAAGGATTTGCAGACCTGCAAGAAAGCAGGTAGAAAATGTTTGGATTCACTGCCTTTCAGGGACAGTGCAGGGTGTGCTGCATGCGGTTTTGCAGGGTCGACAAACATTGAAAGCTTCAAATTGGTGACTCTTGTTGTTGGCTGGGTTTCCTCATATGCCTTTTGCAAGGCTGCCCACACAAGTGACAACCTCTCCTGTGGGGATTTCTTTTGTCTACCTGGCCCATCATGGTACACCAAGTAGTGCAAGACTGAGCCAATCAAGTGGGAATAAATTCCATGAACCCACAAGATATGAAGGGCATCCCCCCTGACAAATTTGGTAGTCAGGCCTGGCACTTGATGGAAAAGTGGATGATTGGAAGGAGGGTTCTCAGCAGCTTCACTATTGCTAGTGTATTTAAAGTTTTGCTTGTCCATTTCGATTGTCTTGAACCATTTAGATTCATCTGCATTGGATGACACACAGTCACATTCCATGCAAGGCGCCTTGCTCCCCCAATGTGGGAGACCAAGGTGGTTGGAGAAGAATTCTGCATCACCTTGGATGCTCCACACCACTGCCCTGTAGCCAGAGCAGAGTGCTTTTCCTCTTTGCTCATAAAATGGAGAACCCTTTTTCAAAGGTTTACCCATGGCATCATGCATGGGATGGGTCCCTTGCACAAGGGCATTCAGAGACCAGCAAACTTGCTGCATGATCTCACACCAGGTTTCAGGTGCAGTTGCTGTTTTTGGGAAGCATGATATCAGGAACCTGGTTTCCAGTGGTGAGAAGTTGGTCATCAGAGGGCCCCATGACCAACACATCAATGAATCTCTAACAGCATACTCCACACCATCGCCATGGAGCCAAATTGGGATTGTTCTTTTCTTCCAATTCCTACTTTTGCAAGGGTGGTCCTGTAGCCTGGGGTCCTTTGTTTTTCCACTTCAGTCCAAAATTGCTCCACTTTCTCAAGTGGGAAAATCTCATGGAAGTTGTCCAGCTTGGACAGCTCACTGAACATTATGTGTGGTAGAAAAATTGATCCCAACACCTTCTCCTTTTTCAATGATTTTGGATCAATGCAAGTTACTTCCAGGTCCATTGGCTCTGGAACACATACATTCTTCACAAACCTGCACATGAGGTCTCTATGTATGTTTCCAGGTACTTTGCCATAATTGCCTGTTTTGGCCATGTCATGAAGTTCCACATGGTTGCAGCCACCCAAGCAAGCTGCATGGGCTAGTTTTCTTATCTGTGTGCCTGAAAGCTTTCCATGTGCCCATAAGCTGAGAAGAGCAGTTGCTAGGTTACTTTCCTTCCCTTCCTCAAGGGTGTTTTCCCGTTTTTGCTTTCTGGTGCTACCCATGGCTTCTTCCAGCTTCCAGCCTCTAAGCCTTTTGGCCATACCCTTTCTAGAGAGCTACCCTTTTACAAAGGTTGCCCAAAACCAAATCCCTTGCAAAAGGGTGCCCTTTAACAAGGGTCTGCTATGACACTTCCACCTGTATGGCTAGAAGCTCCTGTAGTTTGAGCCAGTTGAATGCAGCATGGATGCACTGAAATTATTGAAACATGTTGACAAGCAAAACCACAGCCAAACAAAACCAGAAACCACCAACCCCCCCCCCCCACTGCAGCAAGTTAGACAGAAAAAGAAACTCCACCACATTTATTTTTTTCCAAAAACCATGGCAGTCAGCTAGCTAAGGCTCTGTACATGGTGCCTTGCTTTGATGGCAGCCAAATTCTGAAAAACACCCCTCAGTGGGAAGTTGCCTCCCCTAAGTGTGCCACCCTTTCCCAAGGGTGCTACCCTTCCCCAAGGGTATTTCCAACAGTTTGCTGGTGATCCCCTCTTTCAAGGGTTCATGGTTTCCTGGTGGTTCCCTCTTTCAAGGGTTACCCTTCTGCAAAGGTAATTTGTGCCATTTACTGTTTGGATGCTTTGGAGTGGGTCCTCATGCTGATTTGAACCAATTCCTTTGCTTCCTCCTTTGCATCTTTCAAGGCTTTCACAGCATCCAAAACCACTTGCTTCAACCTGTCCAGCTTATTGTCTTCACCTTTTGCAAGGTGGTTCTTCACAGTTTTCAAAGCAGCACCCAAATCACTCAGGGATGCCTCTTTCTCCTTCAGTGCTGCCTTGGTGAGGTACCCGCACTTCCTGACCTTGTTCAGGGCTTCCTCATAGTTGGCTGAAGTTGAAGCCAGCAAGTCCCTGGTCCTCTTCAATTTTCCCAAGGCCTCATGCATTTGCTCCTCAGGTGTCATGTCTTCAAGTGCTTTGGGTTGCCTTGGGGTTTTCCCATTCCCTTTTTTTCTGTTGTGTGTGTCTCCATTCCCCTTTCCAGAGGTGTTCTTCCCTTTCCCCTTTCCAGAGGTGCCAGAAATCAGGCCCATCAGGTCTTTGTCCAGCTGCTCTTGCCAAGGCAGTTCTTCCTCCTTGGGTGCTGCTGGAACTCTTGGGCAATCATCCAGCTACTCAGCTGCCTTCCTGTGAACTTCCTGCTGTAGTTCTGGTTGTCCATGTATTCCCAAACCCCCCAAGTGGAGGTCTCCCTGGATACCACCCTGCCACTTTCAAGGTGTTTGTCCAGGTCATCTCTGCCCCATACAAAATGATGAAACATGATGAAACATGATGAAACATGATGAAACATGATGAAACATGATGAAATCATCACTTTTCATCATGTTTCATCATGCTTCATCATGTTTCATCATTTTTCATTTCCCCTCAAAAAAACATTGGTGGGCCCCAATCAGTACCCTCTAACCGGTGTTTGTCTTTTGGGTGGTTCCCCATAGTTCTCCTTACAGGTCCCTTTACATACCCTTCAATCCCTTTTTGGTGGTCCCTTAATATTTTGGGGGAATTTTGGTGGTGCCTCACCACCAGAGTGCTCTGCCACTTTGTGCCTGTGTGGCCTTGCAGGTATGTGTTCACCTGGCTGCTGCCACAAAACCAAAACAAACAACAACACCATTTTAATTTGACTATCATTGTTTGAACATTCTAGTTAAACATTGGGCAGCAGCCATGTGGTGAGCAAAAACATGCAGGTGAAACAATCCCTTTCTCGAAGGATTTGAATTATGCTGGCACCCTTTTGCAAAGGTGGTTTGAAACCAAAATGGATCCCCTTCTTCAAGGGTTTTTTTTTGGACCCTTTCCCAAAGGTCATTTGCTTGGACCCTTTTTCAAAGGTCATTTGTTTGGACCCTTTTTCAAAGGTCTTTTTCTTGGACCCTTTTTCAAAGGTCAAGGGGTGCACTCACTTTTCTTCCTCCTGGTAAAGAAGGTATTCTTCCACAGCATGTTCAAAGGAATCAAAAATCCTCCCACCTCTCTTCAGCCACCACCCATGCCTTGTTCTGCTGGTGGAGATGGGAAAGATTTCAATCCCTTCTTCAAGGGCTGCCTCAAGGATGTCTCCACTGTCATCCATGATGGCTTGGCACCCCCTTTCTTTGCAGATGCCACTCTTGCCAGTGGGGCCTGTCCTGTGCTCTGTTGTGAAGCAGGCCTCCAGCCTGCCAAACCAGGGCTGCCTCCTCATATGCCCCATCACTTTGGCTGCCCTGTTTTTGTAGCACCAGCTGCACACAGTCACTTTTACCCCTGCATCCAGGAGTTTGACCATGGCAGCTGACCTCTGTGGGCTGATGTAGTCATCCAGGGACAGCACATTGTGATAGTCAACCATCACATGTGGCTGACTTTTGGCAGGGGCAGCACTGCTGGAACTTGTGGCAGCAGCACTGCTGGAACTTGCAGCACCATCACCCTTTTTCAAAGGTGTTTGTTCCTTTGGGCCCTTTTTCAAAGGCACATTTGTCTCTGCATCATTTTTTGCAGGTGCCTTTTCTTCAGGCTGTTCCTTCTTCACTTCAATCTTGATGGCACCCTTTTCTTGCTGGCCCTTTTCCAAAGGTTGCTTTTCCTTTGCCTTTTCTTCTGCACCTTTTTCCACAGGTGCCTTTTCCTGTGCACCCTTTTCCAAAGGTGCCTTTTCTGCTGCACCCTTTTCCACAGGTACATCCTTTGCACCTTCTGCAGCAGGCTCTTCAGCAATGGTAGGAGTGTCTTGCAGTGACTTATCATGCCACTGCTGCCTTGCTGCTTCTCTGACCTTCCATTCTTTGCTGCCCTTCCTCAAGGGTGGCCTGTAGTTGCAGCTGGAGCTGCTGCAGCTTGGGCTGGGGCTTGGGGACCTCCCACTCATGGAGTCATCACTTTCACTGCCACTGGCCCCCCTCTCAGCAGACTGCAGCCTCACCTTTCCCCTTTGCAGGGGTGACTGTGACCTCTGAGACCTGGACCTGGAAGAGGACCTGCTTTGGTTCCTCCTCCTTGGCTGGTGCCAGCTGCCACCAGACCAGTCTTGAGCAGTCCAGCCCCAGCTATGCCACTGGGACCCATCATCATCCCATCCTCTTTCCCAAGAGTTCTACTGGTCCCAGTCATATGTTGGGCCATTGCTTTCTGCCCTGTTCTCAGGCTGGAGGTGTCTTCTTTTTTCTTTTCTTGTGAGGCTGGTAGTGCCAGCACCCAACTTCTTCCCAGCCTTGTTTTTGTTGTCACCTTTTGCAAGGTGTTTTCTCAATGACTTCCAGAGCCAGGATGGGCTGTCTTTGTTGAGCACCATCCCTTCTTGGTAGCCAGAGCACCCTTGTGGCAAGGGTGTATCCATCTTCCCTTTGGCAAGGGATCCCTCTGGCAAGGGTCCCTTTTCCAAGGGATGTGTTGGTGACACACTGTCACTGGGCGAAAAAAAACCTTTGCTTAAAAAAAGCTTGTAGCCAAGGCTGCAGCATGCATGCACCCAAGGTTCAACCAACCAACACTAAAACATCAACCCTTTACCCTTGGTGGTTTAATCCCCTTACTTTTTTTTTGTTGGTCTTAATCCCTTACATGTTTTTGTTTTTTTTTGGGGGGGGGTCTACATTCCTTACCATTTAATTGGTTGAAGGTCTGAACAATTTTACCCTTATTTTGATCCCTTATATGCCCCTGAGTGTTTTGTGGTTTTTGTTGGTTGTTAACATTAAAAATTCCCTTAGACTGTTTTGGTGGGTTTCCCCTGGTCACCCCCATCCCAAGCTGCAGCTATTTACATTTTGCCACATGTCCTGCCTAAGTCATGTGTTTAGCCACACAGAATAGTGTGGCATTTCAAAAACCAAAAACTGTACAGTGGATACCCTTTTGCAAAGGTATTTGTGGCAGGCTAATGGAACTGAAAACCCTTTTGCAAAGGTTTCCTTGGCAGCCTGCTTGTGCATATGTGTTCACACATGTTCTCACCCTTTTTCAAAGGTGTGCCTTTTGCCTAGCTGACACCCTTTTGCAAAGGTGCACCCTTTTGCAAAGGTTGCACCCTTTTGCAAAGGTGGCACCCTTTTGCAAAGGTGGCCCCCACAAACTGATTAGCAACCTTTTTTCAAAGGTGTTCTGCATTCACTTGTACTTATTGCAAAGCTCCTCCTTGAAGGCCTTTGCCTCTTCTTTGCTCAATTGGTCCTTTTCCAAGGCTGCCTTGATCTTGTCAATGATCATATTGTATTTGCTGCTCTTGGCCCTGCTGACTTCTACAATGAGCCTGCTTTTCTCACCAATTGTCTGGGTACCACACAGGTATGCTCTTTCAGGCTTCTTTGCTTTTGTCTTATTGATACTGAGCCATTTTTTCCTTGCAGTAGGCACAGCATTTTTTTTCAATGCAGCACTTGGCTTCTTCAGAGCTGCAGGCTTTTTATTTTTTTGGTGCTTGCACCAAAAACTGCTTCCCTGAGCTCTGGGTTTGCCTTCACATCTCCCATGAGCTGGCATGTGTTGGACCTCTTTTGCAAGAGTCTGCTGGGTCCTGCCTTTCCTTTGTCCACCTTCTCAGGTGTCACAGCTTCAGGTGTCTTCAGCAAAGATGGGTACCCTTTTGAATCCATAGACACATCACTGATCTCTTTCTTCAATTTCTTCTTGCTTGGCTGAGGGCTTTCATCTCCATTTTCCAATGGTGCTGGCAAAGCTTCTTCCCCATCCCTCAGTTCCACCTTTTTCAAGGTGTTGTTCAACTTTGCCATTTCCAAGGCAGTCAGGCTGGAAGCGCATTTGCTATTGGTGCCTTGCCTGGCAAGCCTTCTGAAATGGCTCAGCAGCACAGAAACCCTCTCTGACCTCTGATGGACCCATATGGATCCACTGTGTGTAGTCTGATTCAAATGTGGCTTGGCAGTCGACACCCTTAAGAATGCAGACCTCAGTGGCTGGCAATGCACTTCACATGCTGGTGCTACCTCAAGCAAATCATCGATGAAATCTATGGCATGCATTATGCCTTTTGGGTCAATAGCTCCTTGGGATGAAATTGACTCATATGTCTTAAAATTCTTCATGAGGTCCTCATGCTTGGAGAGCAAGTCAAAAAGAAGCCCTGCTTCCACCCAAGGCTTGGCAAAGTGCCTAGGGCCCCCTTTTTTGTTGGCCATCCCTTCTTCAAGGTTTCCTTTTTACAAAGGTTTCCCTTGGCAAAGGGACCCTTTTCCAAAGGTTTGTAAGTGGTCTCCTTGGCGATGGAGATGATGCCCCTATAGCAGCTACTCAAGATTGAACAAAAAAGGCTGCAGAGATGCTATACATTGATGTTCAACATATACAGGAGGGACATGGAAACCATAATTGGAATTTATGCAAAAATCAACATTAACATCATAAACAACCCAGAAAAAACAATGCAAAAAATCAAAAAAAACAAGAGAAAAAATCAAAAAAATCAATAGAAAAAAACAAAAAAACAACAAGAGAAAAACCAATAAAAAAACAATAAAATCAATAGAAAAAAAACAATAAAAAAAATCAATAAAAAAAAAATCAATAGACAAAATCAATAAAAAAAATCAATAAAAACATCAAAAAGAAATCAATATAGAAATCAATAAAAAAAAATCAATGCTAGATAACCAAAAAATCAAACAGAGACTTTTCAATAGAATCAATATTTTTTTCAAAAAAAAAATCAATAGAAAACATAGGGGAGACTATTGATTGGAATCAATATTCGATGCTCAGGGTATACTTTGGGACCCCCCCCCCCTACCCGACATGATCGCCTTCGCAGGTGTACCGGGGATATTCCATCCCTTCAAGAAAAACGCGGGGGTATCAACCAGGTTTTGGAATATGTTTAAAGAAAACATGTTGTTGAATAATTTTCCTAAGCAGTGGGCCTACGGATGTGCATATTGGAATATGCGAATTATAATCTAAGCCTTCAAATATACCCTGGAATAACTATGTTTTGACATAACTTCATCTAAATTTTAAATGGTTGAACAAAAAAAGATTTAAAAAAAACACTTGGGGATTCCCGCAAAAAAAATGTTCAACCATCATCTTCATCACTGGGTTCTTTCCTACATATTTCAATTTTTTTCATACTTCCCCACATTTCTCTCACATTCCCTTCATTTCCTTCCAAAGAACACTCGGTGGGAATGACTGTGAAAGGGAAAGCATTCGGTGTTTATTTTTTTTTTTCAGCTGGCAGCTGCTCACTTTGATTTTTGAGGAGTGCAGAGTATCTCCAATACCCCTAGAATAATTTCTTCCCTTGGGAAATCCCACGGAATGGTATTCAACCTGGCCCTTTCCTGTAGTGACACTGTAGTGATTTTCCTAACCTGTCATATTTCCCATTATTTCTCCCATATTCCCTTCATTTCCCTCCAAAGAACTCATTTTTGGGAAGCGTTCGGTTTTGATAGGTTTTTCATTTTTTTCCAGTTTCTGGGCGAGTTGGATGGTTCTGGCAGCTGCTCACTTTGATTTTTGGGAAGGGCAGGATATCTCCACTACCCCTAGAATAATTTCTTCTCTTGGGAAATCCCACAGAATAGTATTCAACCTGGCCCTTTCCTGTAGTGATTTTCCTAACCTGTCATATTTCCCATTATTTCTCCCATATTCCCTTCATTTCCCTCCAAAGAACTCTTTTTTGGGAAGCGTTCGGTTTTGATAGGTTTTTCATTTGTTTCCAGTATATGGACGGGTTTGATGGTTCTGGCAGCTGCTCACTTTGATTTTTGAGGAGTGCAGGGTATCTCCAATACCCCTAAAATAATTTCTCCGCTTGGGAAACCCCACAAAATAGTATTCCTTTCCTGTAGTGATTTTCCTAACCTGTCATATTTCCTCTTATTTCTCCCATATTCCCTTCATTTCCCTCCAAAGAACTCTTTTTTGGGAAGCGCTCGGATTTTATAGATTGTTCAATTGTTTCCAGTTTATGGGCGAGTTGGATGGTTCTGGCAGCTGCTCACTTTGAATTTTGGGTGCAAGGCATCTCCAATACCCCTAGAATAATTTCTCCTCTTGGGAAATCGCACAAAATGGTATTCAACTTAGCTCTTTGCTATAGTTGTTTTTCTAGCCTTTCATGTTTTTCCCTCTTTCTCCCATATTTCCTTCATTTCCCTCCAAAGAATTTTTTTTGGGAAGCGTTCGGTTTTGATAGGTTTTTCATTTTTTTCCAGTTTCTGGGCGAGTTGGATGGTTCTGGCAGCTGCTCACTTTGGTTTTTCTGCTCACTTTGGGAAAACTCTTTGGCCATTCGAACATGAAGCTTCGCTTCAAAGCCTTAAAACCTTAGCCTTAGAGACTCATGAAGCCTCCGAATTTCATCGAATTTCCACATGCACCAACTGGAGCCAAGATCAACCGACATCGACTCAGTCCATCCTCAGCTTAGCGACCCGTCGGTCTGCCAGGTCTAGCATGTCGAGCTGGGTAGCCCTCGTCAATGGATTCCCGCGCAGATCCAAAGTGCTGAGACGTGAAAGGTTGAAGAGCCTAGAGTCCAGGTTGCCTTGGCGGTGACACTTTTCCACATACAAGCCGCTAGAAGGAACAACTTTACTGCGGATGGCATACCATTGCTTGTTAGCGGAACACGTTTAGATCCTTGAAAAAAGTGTTCCAGAAAAAACAAAATGCAAACTCAAAGTTGTTAGGATATGGCCCCCCAAGATGCTCAGCTGGTTGTAGCTCAGGTCGAGGACTTCCAGGCCGCTGAGGCTATCAAAGAGACCAGAAGGAAGTTCTTCCAAGGCGTTTTGGCTCAAATTGAGCTTTTGCAAAGAAGCCAAAAGCCTCATAGAATGCACATGGTGCACACAACCCAACAGTGGCGGGGAGGAAAGGTTAAAGACCTAGACCATCCTGGACCAGGCACCAGTTCCGGACAGACCCTGGCCCAGTTTTCAAGTCATGATCTATATGGGCAAGGTGGGCAGCAAATAAATGTAACGAAATAATACTAAATATTAATATGATGGAAACCAAACAGAAAGATATCTAAACAAATGTGGGCAAGTGCTCGTGAACTGGAACCTGATCAACCTCCACAATCGGATCGACGCTCAATAAACCACTTAATTCATCATCAGGAACCCAGTATTGCGAATTCTTGCGTTCCAAAATTGACGGCGGCTAGATATCTACCCTACCTAAACTACCCCCCCCCCCTCCCCCCCTCCTCAAAATGATTTCCAAAATTATTTTCAGGGGGTTGATAGTGTCTTCGGTTGTTATACGAAACAACCCTCTTTAGGGTAAAATAATTTCTTACGATAGACCCCCCCCTCCCCTTCATCGACGGTGGTGAACCTTCGTAAAAATTATTTCAACCCCTGGGGAGGTAATTATTTTGCCCCCCTCCGGAGACTCCCATCTTTACATATGTACCCTGAGCATCGAATATTGATTACAATCAATAGAATCAATATGGTCCCAAAATCTAAAAAAAATCAATTGGAAAATATTGATTTTGCTGAAAAAATAATCAATAAAAAAGGATAGGGAAACTGAAAGCAAAAATCAATATAAAAATCAAATAGAAAATCAATATAAAAATCAAAGAAAAAATCAATATAAAAATCAAAGAAAAAATCAATATAAAAATCAAAGAAAAAATCAATATAAAATTCAAAGAAAGCAATATAACAATCAAAGATTCAGTGGTCAAAGCCAGGGAGCTGCAATGCAATACATGTTTGGCAAGCCTGATGTATATAGGCACTAGGGGTGCTGGCTGCCCAAAAGCAAACAAGAATAACCAGATGCCTTAAAAGTTGGATGGGTCATCATTGCATGGGACAGCCAGAATTGCCCAGGTGAAACATGCAATCTGCATCCCTAAAGGAAAGAGCATCACCTTTTCTCAAAGGTCCCAACCTTTTCCCAAAGGTTTCAACACCCCTATCTCAAAGGTATCAGCACCACCCTTTTTCAAAGGTTTCAACCTTTTCCCAAAGGTTTCAACACCCCTTTCTCAAAGGTATCAGCAGCACCTTTTCTCAAAGGTTTCAACCTTTTCCCAAAGTTTCTATTCATGGCATCACTAATCAGGCACAAGGGAAAAATTGTCTCTTGTTAACAAGAGATGTACCAAAATTCTATACTTGGGCCCTACTTTTTTGCATAGCTTGCTTGATCTGACACCAGGGGATATTGAAAACACCAATTGGGACATTTGGGATACAAAGTCTTCGCATGCAAAGCACCAAGAAGCTTTGGGGTTCAAAAATTTGGAATTCTCAGCTAGATGCTGAAAGGTGTGGAACTTGTGCACCACATGGAACAAGAGCTTCCCTTCTTCAAGGGCCCAGTCTCTCAAAAAGCTGTATGTATCCAAGAACCCTTTTGCAAAGGTCATGGCATCCTTGTACTCAGCTGCAGTTGGGATCACATCAGCTCTGTTGTAAACATCCACAAGCTGCTGCATGTTCTGCATAGCATCCAGCATGCAAGATTCATGCCAGATATCCTTCTTCAGCAAGGATTTGCAGACCTGCAAGAAAGCAGGTAGAAAATGTTTGGATTCACTGCCTTTCAGGGACAGTGCAGGGTGTGCTGCATGCGGTTTTGCAGGGTCGACAAACATTGAAAGCTTCAAATTGGTGACTCTTGTTGTTGGCTGGGTTTCCTCATATGCCTTTTGCAAGGCTGCCCACACAAGTGACAACCTCTCCTGTGGGGATTTCTTTTGTCTACCTGGCCCATCATGGTACACCAAGTAGTGCAAGACTGAGCCAATCAAGTGGGAATAAATTCCATGAACCCACAAGATATGAAGGGCATCCCCCCTGACAAATTTGGTAGTCAGGCCTGGCACTTGATGGAAAAGTGGATGATTGGAAGGAGGGTTCTCAGCAGCTTCACTATTGCTAGTGTATTTAAAGTTTTGCTTGTCCATTTCGATTGTCTTGAACCATTTAGATTCATCTGCATTGGATGACACACAGTCACATTCCATGCAAGGCGCCTTGCTCCCCCAATGTGGGAGACCAAGGTGGTTGGAGAAGAATTCTGCATCACCTTGGATGCTCCACACCACTGCCCTGTAGCCAGAGCAGAGTGCTTTTCCTCTTTGCTCATAAAATGGAGAACCCTTTTTCAAAGGTTTACCCATGGCATCATGCATGGGATGGGTCCCTTGCACAAGGGGATTCAGAGACCAGCAAACTTGCTGCATGATCTCACACCAGGTTTCAGGTGCAGTTGCTGTTTTTGGGAAGCATGATATCAGGAACCTGGCTTCCAGTGGTGAGAAGTTGGTCATCAGAGGGCCCCATGACCAACACATCAATGAATCTCTAACAGCATACTCCACACCATCGCCATGGAGCCAAATTGGGATTGTTCTTTTCTTCCAATTCCTACTTTTGCAAGGGTGGTCCTGTAGCCTGGGGTCCTTTGTTTTTTCCACTTCAGTCCAAAATTGCTCCACTTTCTCAAGTGGGAAAATCTCATGGAAGTTGTCCAGCTTGGACAGCTCACTGAACATTATGTGTGGTAGAAAAATTGATCCCAACACCTTCTCCTTTTTCAAGGATTTTGGATCAATGCAAGTTACTTCCAGGTCCATTGGCTCTGGAACACATACATTCTTCACAAACCTGCACATGAGGTCTCTATGTATGTTTCCAGGTACTTTGCCATAATTGCCTGTTTTGGCCATGTCATGAAGTTCCACATGGTTGCAGCCACCCAAGCAAGCTGCATGGGCTAGTTTTCTTATCTGTGTGCCTGAAAGCTTTCCATGTGCCCATAAGCTGAGAAGAGCAGTTGCTAGGTTACTTTCCTTCCCTTCCTCAAGGGTGTTTTCCCGTTTTTGCTTTCTGGTGCTACCCATGGCTTCTTCCAGCTTCCAGCCTCTAAGCCTTTTGGCCATACCCTTTCTAGAGAGCTACCCTTTTACAAAGGTTGCCCAAAACCAAATCCCTTGCAAAAGGGTGCCCTTTAACAAGGGTCTGCTATGACACTTCCACCTGTATGGCTAGAAGCTCCTGTAGTTTGAGCCAGTTGAATGCAGCATGGATGCACTGAAATTATTGAAACATGTTGACAAGCAAAACCACAGCCAAACAAAACCAGAAACCACCAACCCCCCCCCCCACTGCAGCAAGTTAGACAGAAAAAGAAACTCCACCACATTTATTTTTTTCCAAAAACCATGGCAGTCAGCTAGCTAAGGCTCTGTACATGGTGCCTTGCTTTGATGGCAGCCAAATTCTGAAAAACACCCCTCAGTGGGAAGTTGCCTCCCCTAAGTGTGCCACCCTTTCCCAAGGGTGCTACCCTTCCCCAAGGGTATTTCCAACAGTTTGCTGGTGATCCCCTCTTTCAAGGGTTCATGGTTTCCTGGTGGTTCCCTCTTTCAAGGGTTACCCTTCTGCAAAGGTAATTTGTGCCATTTACTGTTTGGATGCTTTGGAGTGGGTCCTCATGCTGATTTGAACCAATTCCTTTGCTTCCTCCTTTGCATCTTTCAAGGCTTTCACAGCATCCAAAACCACTTGCTTCAACCTGTCCAGCTTATTGTCTTCACCTTTTGCAAGGTGGTTCTTCACAGTTTTCAAAGCAGCACCCAAATCACTCAGGGATGCCTCTTTCTCCTTCAGTGCTGCCTTGGTGAGGTACCCGCACTTCCTGACCTTGTTCAGGGCTTCCTCATAGTTGGCTGAAGTTGAAGCCAGCAAGTCCCTGGTCCTCTTCAATTTTCCCAAGGCCTCATGCATTTGCTCCTCAGGTGTCATGTCTTCAAGTGCTTTGGGTTGCCTTGGAGTTTTCCCATTCCCTTTTTTTCTGTTGTGTGTGTCTCCATTCCCCTTTCCAGAGGTGTTCTTCCCTTTCCCCTTTCCAGAGGTGCCAGAAATCAGGCCCATCAGGTCTTTGTCCAGCTGCTCTTGCCAAGGCAGTTCTTCCTCCTTGGGTGCTGCTGGAACTCTTGGGCAATCATCCAGCTACTCAGCTGCCTTCCTGTGAACTTCCTGCTGTAGTTCTGGTTGTCCATGTATTCCCAAACCCCCCAAGTGGAGGTCTCCCTGGATACCACCCTGCCACTTTCAAGGTGTTTGTCCAGGTCATCTCTGCCCCATTTCTCAATGGCTTCCCTTTCACTCAGCCAATCTTCCTTTTTGGTAAGGGCTTTCTCCATGTTAATTTGCTTGCTGACTGAACAAAACTTTGGGGCTTCAGCCCTCATCAGAAACAAAGCGCTCTTGAGCCCTTTTTCCTTCCTGGAACTGTTGTCAAACTCATCCTTTTCTTCCTCATTTCCACACTTTTTCAAGTGTGCATCATACTTGTTCCAGGCCTTTGTTTTTTCAGCTGCTGTCATGCTCTCTTTCAAGACCATGGCTGCCTCCACTTCATCTTCATGCTCTTCTGCAATTTTTTTGACCTTGTCTTTCAGGGACATTTGCCCCAATTTTGCCAAGTTTCCCCTTCTCAGGGGTGACAGGTTTGCACTTGGTCTTTTCAAAATCCCTTTCTTCAAAGGTTGGCCCCCTTTTCCCAAAGGTTGCTGCCCCTTCTGCAAAGGTTTGCCTCCTTTTTGCAAAGGTTTTTTAACTGTTTTCATTGCCTTCATAGCCATTGTTTTGGGCATCCTTTTCCCAAAGGTAAAATGGCGATTGCCCAGCTGATCTAGATTTGCAGCCAAAATGGCTGCCCAAATGCAAAGAGTCACACCCCTTCTGGATGAAAATTGAAAATTTCCCAACCAAATTGTGCCTGGATACAAAATGATGAAACATGATGAAACATGATGAAACATGATGAAACATGATGAAACATGATGAAATCATCACTTTTCATCATGTTTCATCATGCTTCATCATGTTTCATCATTTTTCATTTCCCCTCAAAAAAACATTGGTGGGCCCCAATCAGTACCCTCTAACCGGTGTTTGTCTTTTGGGTGGTTCCCCATAGTTCTCCTTACAGGTCCCTTTACATACCCTTCAATCCCTTTTTGGTGGTCCCTTAATATTTTGGGGGAATTTTGGTGGTGCCTCACCACCAGAGTGCTCTGCCACTTTGTGCCTGTGTGGCCTTGCAGGTATGTGTTCACCTGGCTGCTGCCACAAAACCAAAACAAACAACAACACCATTTTAATTTGACTATCATTGTTTGAACATTCTAGTTAAACATTGGGCAGCAGCCATGTGGTGAGCAAAAACATGCAGGTGAAACAATCCCTTTCTCGAAGGATTTGAATTATGCTGGCACCCTTTTGCAAAGGTGGTTTGAAACCAAAATGGATCCCCTTCTTCAAGGGTTTTTTTTTGGACCCTTTCCCAAAGGTCATTTGCTTGGACCCTTTTTCAAAGGTCATTTGTTTGGACCCTTTTTCAAAGGTCTTTTTCTTGGACCCTTTTTCAAAGGTCAAGGGGTGCACTCACTTTTCTTCCTCCTGGTAAAGAAGGTATTCTTCCACAGCATGTTCAAAGGAATCAAAAATCCTCCCACCTCTCTTCAGCCACCACCCATGCCTTGTTCTGCTGGTGGAGATGGGAAAGATTTCAATCCCTTCTTCAAGGGCTGCCTCAAGGATGTCTCCACTGTCATCCATGATGGCTTGGCACCCCCTTTCTTTGCAGATGCCACTCTTGCCAGTGGGGCCTGTCCTGTGCTCTGTTGTGAAGCAGGCCTCCAGCCTGCCAAACCAGGGCTGCCTCCTCATATGCCCCATCACTTTGGCTGCCCTGTTTTTGTAGCACCAGCTGCACACAGTCACTTTTACCCCTGCATCCAGGAGTTTGACCATGGCAGCTGACCTCTGTGGGCTGATGTAGTCATCCAGGGACAGCACATTGTGATAGTCAACCATCACATGTGGCTGACTTTTGGCAGGAGCAGCACTGCTGGAACTTGTGGCAGCAGCACTGCTGGAACTTGCAGCACCATCACCCTTTTTCAAAGGTGTTTGTTCCTTTGGGCCCTTTTTCAAAGGCACATTTGTCTCTGCATCATTTTTTGCAGGTGCCTTTTCTTCAGGCTGTTCCTTCTTCACTTCAATCTTGATGGCACCCTTTTCTTGCTGACCCTTTTCCAAAGGTTGCTTTTCCTTTGCCTTTTCTTCTGCACCTTTTTCCACAGGTGCCTTTTCCTGTGCACCCTTTTCCAAAGGTGCCTTTTCTGCTGCACCCTTTTCCACAGGTACATCCTTTGCACCTTCTGCAGCAGGCTCTTCAGCAATGGTAGGAGTGTCTTGCAGTGACTTATCATGCCACTGCTGCCTTGCTGCTTCTCTGACCTTCCATTCTTTGCTGCCCTTCCTCAAGGGTGGCCTGTAGTTGCAGCTGGAGCTGCTGCAGCTTGGGCTGGGGCTTGGGGACCTCCCACTCATGGAGTCATCACTTTCACTGCCACTGGCCCCCCTCTCAGCAGACTGCAGCCTCACCTTTCCCCTTTGCAGGGGTGACTGTGACCTCTGAGACCTGGACCTGGAAGAGGACCTGCTTTGGTTCCTCCTCCTTGGCTGGTGCCAGCTGCCACCAGACCAGTCTTGAGCAGTCCAGCCCCAGCTATGCCACTGGGACCCATCATCATCCCATCCTCTTTCCCAAGAGTTCTACTGGTCCCAGTCATATGTTGGGCCATTGCTTTCTGCCCTGTTCTCAGGCTGGAGGTGTCTTCTTTTTTCTTTTCTTGTGAGGCTGGTAGTGCCAGCACCCAACTTCTTCCCAGCCTTGTTTTTGTTGTCACCTTTTGCAAGGTGTTTTCTCAATGACTTCCAGAGCCAGGATGGGCTGTCTTTGTTGAGCACCATCCCTTCTTGGTAGCCAGAGCACCCTTGTGGCAAGGGTGTATCCATCTTCCCTTTGGCAAGGGATCCCTCTGGCAAGGGTCCCTTTTCCAAGGGATGTGTTGGTGACACACTGTCACTGGGCGAAAAAAAACCTTTGCTTAAAAAAAGCTTGTAGCCAAGGCTGCAGCATGCATGCACCCAAGGTTCAACCAACCAACACTAAAACATCAACCCTTTACCCTTGGTGGTTTAATCCCCTTACTTTTTTTTTGTTGGTCTTAATCCCTTACATGTTTTTGTTTTTTTTGGGGGGGGTCTACATTCCTTACCATTTAATTGGTTGAAGGTCTGAACAATTTTACCCTTATTTTGATCCCTTATATGCCCCTGAGTGTTTTGTGGTTTTTGTTGGTTGTTAACATTAAAAATTCCCTTAGACTGTTTTGGTGGGTTTCCCCTGGTCACCCCCATCCCAAGCTGCAGCTATTTACATTTTGCCACATGTCCTGCCTAAGTCATGTGTTTAGCCACACAGAATAGTGTGGCATTTCAAAAACCAAAAACTGTACAGTGGATACCCTTTTGCAAAGGTATTTGTGGCAGGCTAATGGAACTGAAAACCCTTTTGCAAAGGTTTCCTTGGCAGCCTGCTTGTGCATATGTGTTCACACATGTTCTCACCCTTTTTCAAAGGTGTGCCTTTTGCCTAGCTGACACCCTTTTGCAAAGGTGCACCCTTTTGCAAAGGTTGCACCCTTTTGCAAAGGTGGCACCCTTTTGCAAAGGTGGCACCCCAACTGATTAGCAACCTTTTTTCAAAGGTGTTCTGCATTCACTTGTACTTATTGCAAAGCTCCTCCTTGAGGGCCTTTGCCTCTTCTTTGCTCAATTGGTCCTTTTCCAAGGCTGCCTTGATCTTGTCAATGATCATATTGTATTTGCTGCTCTTGGCCCTGCTGACTTCTACAATGAGCCTGCTTTTCTCACCAATTGTCTGGGTACCACACAGGTATGCTCTTTCAGGCTTCTTTGCTTTTGTCTTATTGATACTGAGCCATTTTTTCCTTGCAGTAGGCACAGCATTTTTTTTCAATGCAGCACTTGGCTTCTTCAGAGCTGCAGGCTTTTTATTTTTTTTTGGTGCTTGCACCAAAAACTGCTTCCCTGAGCTCTGGGTTTGCCTTCACATCTCCCATGAGCTGGCATGTGTTGGACCTCTTTTGCAAGAGTCTGCTGGGTCCTGCCTTTCCTTTGTCCACCTTCTCAGGTGTCACAGCTTCAGGTGTCTTCAGCAAAGATGGGTACCCTTTTGAATCCATAGACACATCACTGATCTCTTTCTTCAATTTCTTCTTGCTTGGCTGAGGGCTTTCATCTCCATTTTCCAATGGTGCTGGCAAAGCTTCTTCCCCATCCCTCAGTTCCACCTTTTTCAAGGTGTTGTTCAACTTTGCCATTTCCAAGGCAGTCAGGCTGGAAGCGCATTTGCTATTGGTGCCTTGCCTGGCAAGCCTTCTGAAATGGCTCAGCAGCACAGAAACCCTCTCTGACCTCTGATGGACCCATATGGATCCACTGTGTGTAGTCTGATTCAAATGTGGCTTGGCAGTCGACACCCTTAAGAATGCAGACCTCAGTGGCTGGCAATGCACTTCACATGCTGGTGCTACCTCAAGCAAATCATCGATGAAATCTATGGCATGCATTATGCCTTTTGGGTCAATAGCTCCTTGGGATGAAATTGACTCATATGTCTTAAAATTCTTCATGAGGTCCTCATGCTTGGAGAGCAAGTCAAAAAGAAGCCCTGCTTCCACCCAAGGCTTGGCAAAGTGCCTAGGGCCCCCTTTTTTGTTGGCCATCCCTTCTTCAAGGTTTCCTTTTTACAAAGGTTTCCCTTGGCAAAGGGACCCTTTTCCAAAGGTTTGTAAGTGGTCTCCTTGGCGATGGAGATGATGCCCCTATAGCAGCTACTCAAGATTGAACAAAAAAGGCTGCAGAGATGCTATACATTGATGTTCAACATATACAGGAGGGACATGGAAACCATAATTGGAATTTATGCAAAAATCAACATTAACATCATAAACAACCCAGAAAAAACAATGCAAAAAATCAAAAAAAAACAAGAGAAAAAATCAAAAAAATCAATAGAAAAAAACAAAAAAAACAACAAGAGAAAAACCAATAAAAAAACAATAAAATCAATAGAAAAAATCAATAAAAAAAAATCAATAAAAAAATCAATAAAATCAATAGACAAAATCAATAAAAAAAATCAATAAAAACATCAAAAAGAAATCAATATAGAAATCAATAAAAAAAATCAATGCTAGATAACCAAAAAATCAAACAGAGACTTTTCAATAGAATCAATATTTTTTTCAAAAAAAAAATCAATAGAAAACATAGGGGAGACTATTGATTGGAATCAATATTCGATGCTCAGGGTATACTTTGGGACCCCCCCCCCTACCCGACATGATCGCCTTCGCAGGTGTACCGGGGATATTCCATCCCTTCAAGAAAAACGCGGGGGTATCAACCAGGTTTTGGAATATGTTTAAAGAAAACATGTTGTTGAATAATTTTCCTAAGCAGTGGGCCTACGGATGTGCATATTGGAATATGCGAATTATAATCTAAGCCTTCAAATATACCCTGGAATAACTATGTTTTGACATAACTTCATCTAAATTTTAAATGGTTGAACAAAAAAAGATTTAAAAAAAACACTTGGGGATTCCCGCAAAAAAAATGTTCAACCATCATCTTCATCACTGGGTTCTTTCCTACATATTTCAATTTTTTTCATACTTCCCCACATTTCTCTCACATTCCCTTCATTTCCTTCCAAAGAACACTCGGTGGGAATGACTGTGAAAGGGAAAGCATTCGGTGTTTATTTTTTTTTTCAGCTGGCAGCTGCTCACTTTGATTTTTGAGGAGTGCAGAGTATCTCCAATACCCCTAGAATAATTTCTTCCCTTGGGAAATCCCACGGAATGGTATTCAACCTGGCCCTTTCCTGTAGTGACACTGTAGTGATTTTCCTAACCTGTCATATTTCCCATTATTTCTCCCATATTCCCTTCATTTCCCTCCAAAGAACTCATTTTTGGGAAGCGTTCGGTTTTGATAGGTTTTTCATTTTTTTTTCCAGTTTCTGGGCGAGTTGGATGGTTCTGGCAGCTGCTCACTTTGATTTTTGGGAAGGGCAGGATATCTCCACTACCCCTAGAATAATTTCTTCTCTTGGGAAATCCCACAGAATAGTATTCAACCTGGCCCTTTCCTGTAGTGATTTTCCTAACCTGTCATATTTCCCATTATTTCTCCCATATTCCCTTCATTTCCCTCCAAAGAACTCATTTTTGGGAAGCGTTCGGTTTTGATAGGTTTTTCATTTGTTTCCAGTATATGGACGGGTTTGATGGTTCTGGCAGCTGCTCACTTTGATTTTTGAGGAGTGCAGGGTATCTCCAATACCCCTAAAATAATTTCTCCGCTTGGGAAATCCCACAAAATAGTATTCCTTTCCTGTAGTGATTTTCCTAACCTGTCATATTTCCTCTTATTTCTCCCATATTCCCTTCATTTCCCTCCAAAGAACTCTTTTTTGGGAAGCGTTCGGATTTTATAGATTGTTCAATTGTTTCCAGTTTATGGGCGAGTTGGATGGTTCTGGCAGCTGCTCACTTTGAATTTTGGGTGCAAGGCATCTCCAATACCCCTAGAATAATTTCTCCTCTTGGGAAATCGCACAAAATGGTATTCAACTTAGCTCTTTGCTATAGTTGTTTTTCTAGCCTTTCATGTTTTTCCCTCTTTCTCCCATATTTCCTTCATTTCCCTCCAAAGAACTTTTTTTTGGGAAGCGTTCGGTTTTGATAGGTTTTTCATTTTTTTTCCAGTTTCTGGGCGAGTTGGATGGTTCTGGCAGCTGCTCACTTTGGTTTTTGAGGAGTGCAGGGTATCTCCAATACCCCTAAAATAATTTTTCCCCGTGGGAAATACCACAAAATAGTATTCAACCTGGCCCTTTCCTGTAGTGATTTTCCTAACCTGTCATATTTCCCATTTTTCTCCAATATTCCCTTCATTTCCCTCCAACGAACTCTTTTTTGGGAAGCGTTCGGTTTTGATAGGTTTTTCATTTGTTTCCAGTATATGGGCGAGTTGGATGGTTCTGGCAGCTTCCCACATTGATTTTTGAGGAATGCAGGGCATCTCCAAGATCCTTTGAATAATTTCTTAAAGAACGAGTTTGGTTTCGAGTTGCAAGTTTTGATGCGTTCTCGCTGCAACTTAATTTTTGGGGGGATTCTGACATGACTACCAGGGAGCACACATGAAACATGATGTTGAATTTATTTGCGTTGTAGGATTCGCAACGCATCAATCCTAAAAAACAAAAAACCTAAAACATAATAAGCCACTTTTGCAAGCCCAACATTGCGCAAGATGGGATATCGCATTGTTCTACATCGTTTCCTCCGAAAGTTACAACACTGCCATCACTGCGAAGAAGTGCTGTGTGAACACAGCCTGCAGAAACTTGAGTGCACGACCAAAGGTGGAATATGTCATCGGATCAAAACAAGGTCAAACACCAAAATTATTTTGAAATATTTTTTTTGCTGTGAGAGTGTTTTCGTCAAAATTATTTTGAGGGGGGGGTAACCCATCAAAATAATTTCCAACCAGAAATTATTTTGGCAATGGTTAGAGTCTATAAATCTATACATCCAACATGTTAGATTTTTGAAATTATTTTCAAAAAATTATTTTGGAGGGTAACCCCCCCCCTGAAATAATTTCATTAAGGTAGGAGGGATGGCTAGATGCTTCGCGACTGTTCTGATGCAATTTTGATGTGGGTTGAGTTGGCAGCCGCAGCAGCCGCAGCCGCAGCCGCAGCAGCAGCCGCACCCCCGCAGCCGCCGCAGCAGCCGCAGCAGCAGCAGCAGCGGCGGCGGCAGCGGCAGCGGCGGCAGCAGCGCAGCAGCGCAGCAGCCGCGGGCGCGGCAGCGGCGGCAAGCGGCGGCGCGGCAGCGGCGGCAGGCAGCGGCGGCAGCGGCGGCAGCGGCAGCGGCAGCGACGGCAGCGCGGCAGCGGCGGCGGCGGCGGCAGCGGCAGCGGCAGCGCAGCGGCAGCGACAGCGGCAGCGGCAGCAGCAGCAGCAGCAGTGGTGCCAAACAAGGCGGCCGAAGCCCTTGTTATTAAAGGATTTCTCATGGGTAGAATCTTGATTTGCTTGCATTCAGTGGTAAATAAAGAGACGTTTCAAGAAAGAGCGAGGGCGCGCCACACCAAAGCAAATACCCAAACCAAACCACATAATCTTCACCCCAAAACTCATAGTAGCCAAAGACATCCATCATCTTTTGAAATCCCGACAATGAAAAGACCAACCTGCCTAGTGGCAGCTTGCCACAATAACACGACTGGACTATTTACAATCAGAAACGGCTGAAATCTGGCCCTAGTTTGTTAGTTGAGGATCCCGAGCTCGGAGTGCCCTGCAAAGGCGTCCGCAGGGAGACTGGAGATCTCATTGTGGGCCAAATTAAGGACATGTAAATCAGACCGGAAATGCCTCTCGCTAGAATAGTTCTCGCCGACGTCGAAAACCTTTGGAGGCAATGTCCGCAGCTTGTTGTGTGACAAGTCCAACTCACTCATCGGGTAACCGTCACTATATCTCCATAAGCTGCAAAAGGACAAGCCTCGAAAGCTTCCTGCATTCAGACGTGTCAAGACGTTGTTTGTAAAAGCAATCGCTCCACATGCACACCGTCGAATGCTCCAGCAGGAACTGTGGTCAGGCGGTTCCATTCCAAATGTATTTCGTTAGCTTCTAAATAAGGCGACATGTGCTTGCCGGTATCCTGGGATCGGAAGGCGCCAGGGGCCAGCGCGGCCAGCTGTTTGTCACGTAGGTCTATGGTGGGCGCATGGACATGAAAGTACCTGCTTCTTAAACTGCGCCCATGGCTCTGGTGCTGCTCAATGATGCAGCGCTTCAAAGCAACTGATCCACTGGCAACGATGGAGCACTCGCAAGGTGGGCAAAGCCCGCCCTCCAAAAGGCTCGCCAGGACGCTGTCTCCAAGCAGCATGGCCACCACTGCAAATAACCCACATGCGTACGCGATACTGAAAAGAACACGCTTCCACACTCCCCAGATGGGTGGAGCAGCTGGCACCTGAAAAAGTGCAACCCAATCTGCGGTTTCCAGGGATCGACACACGCACAAGACATGCGCGGCACATGGCATGGACATGTAAGCCCAGAAGTTGTGTAAGAATGCGTCACCAAGGGCAGGTAAGCCCACAAAGTCGATGTAAAACGCCAAGGAAGTGATGAGGTAGCCCAAGTCCAACACAGCATCCATCACGGCCGCTCCCACCCGTGAAAAGACACAATTGGGAAAGCTAAAAACGAAAGCTGGAAATAAAATGTTGGAGAGGAGCAAAGCCAAAAAAACGCGAAAAGCAGTGTGCGAATGCAAGGCACCGGCACCCAAAGCATCCATGATGGCACCAAACATGTTTGCCTTGGCAACTGCTTGAATCAAGACCGTAACCACTTGCAATGCTGCCACCTTGAAGGCATAGTGTCTGCCTTGCACACCAAAGTAGGTCTGATAGAACACCTCTGTCGGCCGTGGCCGGAGTCTGAAGCGTCTCCGATGCTTCCAGCACTGAAAGCAGCAACAACCGCACCGCAGTTCCCACAATAGAATCATACCGCACGTCCACCAGGGAAGTGTCATGGCGGTGTAGCAGGGCTGCCAGAATGACCACAATGTCTCAACATGGACAAACCCGTCCTTCTGGGATTAAGAAGCTAACAGGTTACCCACATTGCGGGTTTCCTCATACAAACATATAACTTATCATATAACAAGAAATTCGAAACTTGAATCCAGCAAAAGAAGAAAGAAAATAAAGACACCGCTAAAACCCACTCCTGGATGGAGGACTCAAGGTGAATCGCCACTGCAGCTGCGAAAGAAAAAAAACATGCCACGAGACGCATCAAAGCCGTCGCCAGTAACACGAACCTGGGCACCTCCGAATGACCTTCTTGGATTCGAGAAATGTCCCAACTTGCAGCCTGTGGGATCATGTGTGGATCATGTTCAACCCCTTCTGAATTTCTATGTAGCTATTGAATTTTGATATTTCAAATGATGTTATTTAAACGTAGCTATTTTAATAGGGTTTCTTTTTGTTATTTAGCTCAAGATCTTCGGGTTTTCCCGATCCAAGCCTTGGTTCGGTCCAACAAGCCCAAAGAATTTGCCACCTCGCTGATTCCCTGCTGGGGGACCTTGAAAGACAAAGACTTTTCCAGCAAAAAGACGGTCGCCAAATAGCCCTCCACCGACACCACCACCTGCTTGGATCGCAGCAAGTACAGTAACTGTTCAATGCCCCACAACCCAGGTTCTTCCCAGCTAGTACAGTGGTTATAGATAGTAGCTAAAAATTCAAACATGACATATGGGTGACCTTGGGTTTAGCTGGGAACACAGGCCGCAACAAGATAGACAACTAGGATGTACTGAAGCGATCCGGTGTTGTTATCCCATGCATATAACTCGGACGCAACATCGTCCTAACCCACTTGCTAAATTCTACGCACATCCAAGCGAGCAGCACCTGTCATTACCACTGCCACCGGTGGCTGCCTTGAACATGGTTCTCCACATCAAGATGTTAACATACTGTGGATGGGAGAAATCCTGCACCAGTTGAAAACCATTGGTAGCTACAAAATACTGGAAAAAAAGGAATTATAATGGCATAAACAATCTACCAACTGGTGCAGGATTTCTTGCATCCACAGTATTTAACCATTTAGGCGCCACGAAGATCTATGAACTAGATACATATGCAAAGAGTAGCGTACCTCAACGGATGAAATCAGCAAATTGCTCGCCTGGCAACATTTTCTTGAAGAGGCTACTGCGAAGAAATCACGGGCAGCAACAATCTCCAGATCTCGCGTGTCCTTCAGCATGTGCCATGCATGCTGCACGCGCTGGAGGCCGTTGCAAACGACTTCACAAAATAGAATATCCACATCTCCTCCACGTTCATCTGTCTCTGCCCGGGGCTTGATCTTGGCCACAACTTCTGATCCCAAGCTAGCAAGGGGATCGCAAACCGAACGCTGAAAACGACTCATGGAAGATCTTGCTTGCTTGAAACTCATCGTCAAGTCAAGGTCATTGCGTGGGAGCTCTTGCGAGGAGCCGTGTGAAGCGTTTCCCAAGATGGAAGACACGCTGATCAGGGGTTGGCTCTTGTCTTCAGTGGCTTGCAGTACCTCAAAGTAACTCGCTTCTGTCGCAAGCGCTAATTTGAAGATCTTTTGCTGCATTCGATCCAATCGCTTTGCTGTATAAAAACAGCTGCCAACGATCACTACCAGTAGCGTGATGCAAAAGAAGGTGACCGACATCCCAGTGCTTTCCTCCAAGAAAATGAAGCTGGCTGGTAGCAAGGACAGCAAAATGATCAGAAGCAAAATCCTGCTTTGGATTTCAACCGCGGCTTGCCCACTCAACAGGAAGATCAATTCAAGCCAAACACAGGTTCTCATGATTCCACTGGACGCCATCCTCCAAAATCGAAATAGGCGATGCTTGTCGCAATAACCATGGTGGTTTTGGTGCAGTTCCTTACCTTAGGTGTCTTCATCCCTTGAGAGGCTTGACTTCTAGACCTTTTCTAGGCAACCTCCAGCACGCAAACCCGGTCAATGGACATTCCATCTGTTCATTCAAACCATCCACAATTACACAAAAGAAGACGGATTGTCCATTGCCAGGTTGGATGACCAGAGGCTACTCCAAAAAAAAAGAACAATCTCCGGACTGTGTCCTCCAAAGCTACAACTTTTTTTTCCGCACGGAAATGGCATGTCCTTATTCTCCTCGCTCATCTCTGGACAGCTGGCAGCAGAACTAAAGGTCACCGGGTCCGAAGAACTGAAGACGTCCTGGGCGCTGATCCGGGAAGAAAAGCATGTCCGACGCCTGGTGAATTTCCCTATTCGAAGGGGATGGATGTGTGGTTCATGGCTCGGAAAGGGCCAAAAATCACACTAGATCAGCAAAGCCAAATGTAAAACTGATAGGATCCACCTGTGGCAACTGCAGTGTCTAACTCCACAGACCCAGCAACTCCAAGTGTCTTTCTTTTGCGTCTCTTCAATGCTGATCCACCGGTCGGCCCGATGCCAGGGCCATGTCGTCTGAAGTGAATCGTGGAGGGCTTGCCTCAGCTCCACGCAAGGAACTTCTCCTAAAGAGGCTCCCCCTTCCTTTGCAGATCAAAGAGTCAGTGTTTTCTGATCTCCAGGGGTGGTATGTGGCGCTATGATATTTAACTTGTGTGACAATATTTTACGAAATTCCAATCGAATCAAGGTGCTTGGCCGCTCTCGTCAACTTGGGGCAGCAGTACACGTGCACAACCAGCTCCCTGGAGCTCTGTCGCCAGCTCGACCGCGCCACTTCCAGCTGTAGCTCCTTGAGTCTTGGAATGGGCGGTTGAGCTGAAGGCCACTGAGGTCAGCTTTCCAAGACTTTTATAAGCCATTCAATATATATTTATTCTTGTTCAATGGAATACGCCGCGGGCATGCCGTGATGCAGTATGCATCCATTCATAAGGTATTCACACTGGGGGGTCGGGAACAAGACGCTTTAGTTGGTGTATTACAAGGTACTGCGTGACACCCCTGATCACCCACTACAATAAATCTGGCACATCATCACTCTGCAAGGCACCTACCATCCTCCACAAAAAACCGGCCCAGTTCTGTCAGTCCTCAAGATCCGGCAAGTTGGACAAGAGAAGTTGCAAAGAGCCTTGGGCACAGTGTGGAGCTGCAAACTGGGCCTGGAACTACAGAGTCTCTGAACGAAACTGCCCGCACTTCCAACATCCTGCAATAAGCACAAACATTGGCAAGAGTGATGGGAGGGAAATCATCTCATAGGCAGAACAATAATGTGGTTCCGGGAATCCTGAAGATTTTAATTCTCATAGCCACGCGCAAGAACTACCAAAGCCCGCGGTTGGTGCAACGCAATTTTGAACAAACCATAACAAACCAGTTGGGATTTCCATGGTTGCTCTAAAAATGTTCCCAAAGTGTTCTTTGATACGTTTTCCCGACGCTAACCTGCATCGATTGAAGATGCTGTGGTCTGCTTGCAGGTCAAAAATGACACAGACATAAATATCCAACGCCGCATGGAAAGTCCCACGTTGGAGGGGCCCTTCACATTCGCCAAGGCTCGCAGTTTGGGCATACTACTGGTCGGCAGGTTCACCTGGAGATCATTCCGCAACATGATTTCAGACCGGATGGAAACAGCCAGCGATGGTTGCACTCCTATTTTGGATTGACGGATGGATGGTAACGAAGTCAAAGTTTTGATGGATCCTTTTTGTTCAACCCAATTTTGGTTGGATTTCATCATGACGGTATGTCGAGACCATATTCTTTTCAATCTTGCAAACCCCAATGTTACCAAATACAAGGTAGACTGGTATACAGACATTGGGGTATCCCTTCTTGCACTAACACTGGGCACCAACAGAAGGCACCAAAATAGCAAAACATCTAGCAAAGCTTGCTTTGGCTCCAAATGAACATGCCCAAGACGGAAGGTACTGACAAGTTTCCACTCTACATCTTTGAGTTGCCTTACACACATACACAAAGAACAAAGAAGGTTGTTGAAAGGTTGTGCTGTGGCACAACTATAAGAAGATACACTACAAGATACTGTAAGATACTGGGTTTGCTTTGGTGCCTACCGGGGCTGGGCAGGGGGGGCAGGTGCCTGGCCCAGACCTAGAGAACCAAAATTGTAGCTATGGTTGTGCTCAAAAAAAACTGTTCCAAACCGAGATGGTTTTTAAAGGATGTTTCTTCTGCAAATTTGGTGCTAGCCTGGTCCTTTTGTACCTTGAAAATTGCGTTTTGTTTTGGCGTTTTTTCTTCAAACTGGTGCAAAACTCATCTGGCATTTTTTTCTCAAAATGGTGCTCCTAGCTGGTGCAAAGAGAGGTGGTGCAATCCGGGCTGAAATTTGAAATCGGCCGGCCGGCCGCTCATCCTGGAGTGGCTGAATCGGCCGGCCGGCCGGCCGGCTGGGTCGAGTGGCTGAATCGGCCGGCCGGCCGGCTGGGCCGAGTGGCTGAATCGGCCGGCCGGCCGGTTGGATCGAGTGGCTGAATCGGCCAGCCGGCCAGCTGGGTCGAGTGGCTGAATCGGCCGGCCGGCCGGTTGGATCGAGTGGCTGAATCGGCCAGCCGGCCAGCTGGGTCGAGTGGCTGAATCGGCAGGCCGGCCGGCTGGGTTGTGTGGCTGAATCGGCTGGGCCTCCTGGCCATCTCGCATGGCTGAATCGGCCGGCCGGCCGCTTCCGCCACGTGGCTTCGGGTGGCTGCATCGGCCCCGGCCGTTCTGCGTGGCTGAATCGGCCGGCTGGCCGCTTTGTGTGGCTGAATCGGCCGGCCGGCCGCTGTGCGTGGCTGAATCGGCTGGCCAGCCGCTCTGCGTGGCTGAATCGGCCGGCCGGCCGCCGCTGCAGCCACACACGGCGGCCGGCCGGTCCCTGTGCGTGGCTGAATTTGCCGGCCGGCCGCTTCGTGTGGCTGACTCGGGTGGCCTGCCGCTTTGTGTGGCTGAATCGGCTGGCCGGTCGCTTTGTGTGGGTGAATCGGCAAACCCATTAGCTGAAAAATAATGGCTAGTGGTTGGACATCATGATACCAGCTAGGAAATGACTAAACATAAAATCAATAATATAAAATTACTTTGCTCCGAGTGGTCCCCACCGTGACTCTCTCTAGCTGGCATATCTTCTGGCATTCTTTCTGGCATTCTGTCTGGCATATCTTCAGACATTCTTTCTGGCACTCTATCTATCTGGCATATCTTTTGACAGTCTCTCTGAAATTCTATCTGGCATGTCTTCTGACATTTTTTCTGACATTCTATCTGGCATGTTCTTTGACATTTTTCTGACATTCTATCTGGCATGTCTTCTGACATTCTTTTTGGCATTCTATCTGGCATATCCTCTGACATTCTTTCTGACATTCTATCATCTGGCATGTCTTCTGACATTCTATCTGGCATGTCCTCTGCCTTTTTTCCCAAAAGCATCTTCGATGCTTGGGTTCTCGTTTAATTGTTTAACCGCGTGGGGGAGCGAGCTGATTTGAACGGTGCTGTGCGGACGGTGTGGCTGCAAGGGAAAGAAAGGGAAAGGAGAAGGGAAAGGAAAAGGGAAAGGAAAAGGGAAAGGAAAAGGGAAAGGAAGGGAAAGGAAGGAAAAGGTAAGGAGTGGCTGGAAACGGATGGGGAGAAGAAGCCGCTTGGGATGAGCGAGCTTGGCTGCGCGGACGGATGCGGACGGCAAACGGGTGGGGGGAATTGCGCGGACGGATGCGGAGGGCGTGGGTGCAAGGGAGTGGCTGGAAATGGATGGGGAAAAGAAGCCGCTGGGGATGAGCGAGTTTGGCTGCGCGGACGGCTGCGGACGGCAAATTGGGTGGGGAGAATTGCGCGGACGGCTGCGGACGGCGTGGGTGCAGAAGTGGCTAGAAATGGGTGGGGAGAAGAAGCCCCGCGAGCTTGGCTGCTCGGACGGCTGCGGACGGCGTGGGTGCAAGGGAGTGGGTGGAAATGGGCGGGGAGAAGACGCTGGGGATGAGCGAGCTTGGCTGTGCGCGTGGGTGCAAGGGAGTGGCTGGAAATGGGTGGGGAGAAGAAGCTGCTGGGGATGAGCGAGCTTGGCTGCACGGACGGCTGCGGACGGAGTGGTTGCAAGGGAGTGGCTGGAAATGGGTTGGGAGAACAAGCATGGAAAATGGTTGCTTGTTGGCTGGCTATGTGCGCATATAGATTAACTGATAAAATAGATGCAAGGGGGTGGGGCCAGGGAATGATGGAGACATGGGGTAGGATGATTTGCTTTTTTGGGTTCTCGCTTGGCGTGTGCATTTTTTGTATCTAATTATTAAATTGATGCTTGGGTTCTCGTTTAGTTGGTTAACCGCGTGGGGAGCGAGCTGCTTTGAACGGTGGTGTGCGGACGGTGTGGGAAAGGAAGGGAAAGGAAGGGAAAGGAAGGGAAAGGAAGGGAACATAAGGGACATGTCACAAAGTGCCACCCCTGCCACGCAAAACTACATGACAACCTGCTTGGAAACCTTCAAAGAAAAGGAGAGATTTTGCAGCTTCCCCCATAGACACGGCGACGCCACAGGAAAACCAGAGACTCGAGACGAGACACGTGGGCGGAGCAAAATGAGCATTTCGTGCGAGACTTCCTCCAATTTTGACATTGTCGACTGTTATTAAACAGGTTGGAATGTCACAAAGTGCCATGCCTGCCATGCAAAACGACATGACAACCTGCTTGGAAACCTTGGAAAAAGAAAGGTTTGCAGCTTCCCCCATAGACACGGCGACGCCACAGGAAAACCAGAGACTCGAGACGAGAGATGTGGGAGCATCAAAACGCGCCTTTCGTGCGAGACTTCCTCCAATTTTCACACTTAGCTTCAAAATCGACGTTTTCCTGCGAGTTTTCATAGGAGCCTCTAAATTTGCTACCTCAAAATCGATGTTTCGTGCGAGGCTTCCGTCAATTTTCAGCACATCTCACAAAATGCCACGCCTGCCACGGAATCTGCACCTTGTCGCCACTTGACGCAGCCCTGCCAATGCGATTCGCAAAAAACACGCAACACGACGCGTCTAAAGTGTTGCGCCTGACACGCAAAATGAAGATGGACACATCCAAATGCTGCGCCTGCCACGAAAACTGCAAGGCATCTTTTCTGAAAACGTCGCAAAAGCCTTGCGCCTGCCACACAACATGATTTTTTCACGAAGTGCCACGCCTGCCACGCGAAACGAAGCAACGCGACGTGGGAAACATCCAAGAAAATGACCCTTCCGCGGACGGTTGCGAATGGTTACGGACGGTTGGGCAACGTCGAGCGAACACACGCTCAACCCCCAGACCCCCAGAGTGAAACGGGAACCCTTGCTACGCATTCGGGAAAGAAAGGGAAAGGAAGGGAAAGGAAGGGAATGGAAGGGACAGGAAGGGAAAGGAAGGGAAGGGAAGGGAAAGGACGGGAAAGGAAGGGAAAGAAAGGGAAAGGAAGGGAAAGAAAGGAAAAGAAAGGGAAAGGAAGGGAAAGGACGGGAAAGGAAGGGAAAGGAAGGGAAAGAAAGGGAAAGGAAGGGAAAGAAAGGGAAAGAAAGGGAAAGGAAGGGAAAGGACGGGAAAGGAAGGGAAAGGAAGGGAAAGAAAGGGAAAGGAAGGGAAAGAAAGGGAAAGAAAGGGAAAGGAAGGGAAAGGACAGGAAAGGAAGGGAAAGGAAGGGAAAGGAAAGGAGAGGTTGATTTGGAAATCAACCGCCGTCGCATGACCGTGCTCAAATGAGATTGCTTGGCTATTGCACACTGTCACTCAATGTTTCTGTGCAGAGCTGAAAAAAATGAAATTTGCAGTGAATGCGTCCATAATGTTCATCTTCTAAAAAGAAGCTGGCAAGAGGCGAAGCGGAAATACATAAATTGTTACTCAAATTTGTTTGCTGTCGTTTTGCTTTTGGGTTCTCAGGCCCCCCCTTGTTTGTGACATTCTATTTGGCATGTCTTCTGACATTCTATCTGGCATATCTTCTGACATTCTTTCTGGCATTCTATCTGGCATATCTTCTCACATTCTGTCTGGCATATCTTCTGACATTTTATGTGGCATATCTTCTGACACTCTTTCTGACATTCTATCTGACATATCTTCTGACATCTTTTCTGGCATTCTATCTGGCATATCTTCTCAGATTCTGTCTGGCATATCTTCTGACATTCTATCTGGCATATCTTCTGACACTCTTTCTGGCAATCTATCTGGCATATCTTTATGCATTCTTTCTGGCTGATAAAGTCCGGCGGTGCCCAGTGCGATCTGGAGCTCCCGGTAGAAGTCCGGCAGTGCACAGTGCGATCTGGAGCTCCTGTACAAGTCTGGCAGTGCCTAGTGCGAGCTGGACCTCCCGGTAGAAGTTCGCCAGTGCCCAGAGCGAGTGGAGCTGGCAGATGAAGTCCGGCAATGTTCAGCGCGATCTGGAGCGCCCGGTAGCAGTCCGGCAGTGCCCAGTGCGAGCTGGAGCTCCCTGAAGAAGTCCGGCAGTGCCCAGTGCGATCTGGAGGTGTCAGATGCAGTTCAGCAATGCTCAGTGCGATCAGTCCTCTTTCCCTTTCAAATCCTTTTCTCTAGTTTGAAGTCTTGTCTTTCGTTCGAAGTCTCCTCTTTTCGTTTCAAGGCCTTTCGTTTCGAGTCCTCTCTTCGTTTCAAATCCGCTCTTTTCGTTCGAAGTCCTCTCTTTTGTTTCGAGTCCTCTCTTTCGTTTCAAATCCTTTCTTCTCCTTGGAAATCTTGCCTTTTGTTCGAAGTCTCCTCTGTTCGTTTCAAGGCCTCTCTTTTGTATCGAATTCTCTCTTTCGTTGGAAGTCCTCTCTTCGTTTCAAGGCGTCTCTTTTGTTTCGAATTCTCTCTTTCGTTAGAAGTCCTCTCTTTCGTTGGAAGTCCGCTCTTCGTTTCAAATCCTCTCTGTCATTAGAAGTCTTTTCTTTCGTTGGAAGTCCTCTCTTCGTTTCAAATCCTCGCTTTTCGTTCGAAGTCCTCTCTTTCGTTTCGAGTCCTCTCTTTCGTTTCAAATCCTTTCTTCTCGTTCGAAGCCTTGTCTTTCGTTCGAAGTCTCCTCTTTTCGTTTGAAGGTCTCTCTTTCGTTGGAAGTCCTCTCTTCGTTTCAAATCCTATCTTTTCGTTCGAAGTCCTCTTGTTTGCTTGAAGCCACGTCTTCCTTTAGAAGTCTCCTCTGTTGTGGCTGGCTGGCTGGCTGCATCGGCCGCTGTGGCTGGCTGGCTGGCTGAATCGGCCGCTGTGGCTGGCTGGCTGGCTGAATCGGCCGCTGTGGCTGGCTGGCTGGCTGAATCGGCCGCTGTGGCTGGCTGGCTGGATGGATCGGCCGCTGTGGCTGGCTGGCTGGGCCGCTGTGGCTGGCTGGCTGAATCGGCCGCTGTGGCTGGCTGGCTGGCTGGCTGAATCGGCCGCTGTGGCTGGCTGGCTGACTGAATCGGCCACTGTGGCTGGCTGGCTGGCTGAATCGGCCGCTGTGGGGCTGGCTGAATCGGCCACTGTGGCTGGCTGGCTGGCTGAATCGGCCGCTGTGGCTGGCGGCTGGCTGGCTGAATCGGCCGCTGTGGCTGGCTGGCTGGCTGGCTGAAAACGAATACCGGACCCAAACGCGCTACCAATGCAAAATGGGTGCTCATCTGGTGATGTTTTTCTCAAAATGGTGCTCCTAGCTGTGCAGAATTTGTGCTCACCGGTGCTTTTTTCTCAAAATGGTGCTCCTAGCTTGCACAAATTTTCCTTCTCGATTGCGCCGCTGCGGCAGCCTGAGCAATTTCTGCACCAGCGATGAGCGCCAAAAAACACCAGATGAGCACAAAAAAAATGACTCAAGGTTGGCTAATTGGTGCTTTTTTGGTGCTTTTTTGGGGCAAAACTGTGGTCAAGCTGGTGCAAAATTTGTGCTCATCTGGTGCAAAATTCGTGCTCATCTGGATTTGTTTTTCCATCAAAATTGTGCTCGTAGCTGCTGCCAAGAGAGGAGGGCTGGAGGTGGATGTATGTGTGGAAGATGTGAGTTGATGTGGAGTGGAGGGGTGGTGTGGCACAGGGTGAATTAGTAGAGAAGTTGGCGCAAGATTGGTCAAAGAACAAAAAAACGACCACCGCAGCCGTTTATGCAGACCATTTTAAGGCGTCACTTCCGGTGCATTTTTTGAATATGTTTTTTAATACAGAAACATGTTTGAACTGTTGCTGGGCGGGGCTAACCCAAGGTATACAAATTAAAGCAAAACCATAGTGATCAAAAACCGCATATTTCTATAGTGAAGATTAATGATGACAACAATTAAAAACACGCACATGTATATGTAACATGTATATATATATATGTGTGTGTGCGCGCGTGTGACTGATAAGGAATGATAATAGTGACGCTAATGAACATCAAAACCTCTCCGTAACGCCCACCGTAGCTCCATACGTCGCCTGGCGCAGGGGCATCTTGGTGATACGCAAAGAAAGCTCCTGCAGTTCCGACATCTGTGGGAACTCCACGCGCTGCACGGCTGTGAAGCCCAGGTCCAAACCTCGCCGCAGTTGGGTGATGGGTGTGGAATGGGATCTTGCTACAAAAAGGTCGATGCTTTTCATTTTAGCAAATGTTTCCCTTCTGAAAATGGAACATAACCATGGCAAGTTGGGGTGATAACATTGATAACATGGTATATGGCCAGAACAATGCAGGATATAAAACTGCAAAAGAATATGCCATTTATTCTTCCGTGGAATTTTACTTCAAGTAGGGTCACAATGCGGGGTGAACGCACGCGATAATCTCAAATCACGAATTGTTTGAATGCTTCTTGGGATTGAAATCAATCTTTGGCATGTCTTTCAGCTAGCGGGACTCAATGCATGATACTTGGTGGCAATTTTTGGTCTTGACCATCCGATCTTTGAGTTTCCCCCAGGTTGGCCCAGACACGGGATAGAATTCGCTCCAGCAACTGCATGGATACCAAGCTACTTAAAAAGCTACAGAGAAAACAAGCCAACAAAGAGGCGAATCCAACAAAGCGATCAATGCAATGTTGCCCCTCTACGTGGTGCAAGTTCTGTGGCCATCATCCTTATATACACACCTTAACCATTATGTTCCTCGCAAATCCGGACGTCTGCCATGCGATTCTGGAACTTGGAACTGATAATATTTGCGGCATAAACCTACAATCCTACAATCCAAATATATATTATTATATATATATACCATATGTCTACATATACCAGTGCTGTCCACATATGTACGCCAAACCAAACAACTAATTCCTGGCCAGGGCGCGAAGGATCTGCAGGTGAGCTGGCAGGTGCGCCAGAAAAGTGCTGAGCTGCAAATCATCGAACTTACCTTGGCGCTCTGAAGGATGCTGCGGCTTGCTGGTACCATCCAACCACAAGGCTTGAGCCACCAGGCATCAAGGATTTCATGGCACCAGAAAAGAAGGACAGCAAGGGCCCGAAAAAGGCCAAGCACGTGATAAACCCTGAGAAACAACCAGAGCCACTCTTTCTTGACGCCCTTGGCTTGTAGCATCTTCTACCCATATACAGGGAAAAAATGGACTCACCATGGCAGATATACTCACACAAATGGACTTGGCCGGAGAAATTCCCACCTGTAATTGGACAAGTAAATACAAGTAAATCAGCCAGATAGTCTGTTTTGTGGGTGTTCCAGTGGCACCATATACACATGGATTTTAAATCCCCACCATTCTAAAAAACAGCCGCTTTCAGCCAGGTCTCAGCACCCGGTCAATGAGAGCTGCACCGTATGCCGCTGCGCATCATTTCTCAAGGCCGTCAGGAGCCTCCATAGGTGTTGTGAAGTCGGGCCAACACTTACAGCAACAGAAGCAGCTCTAATAAGGGGATTAACAAACTGCAAGTTTTCCAGTTTTCCCTGCTACAACGGAATATTCTATCCGTCTAGGCGCTCGGATGTGATAAGTTGCTACAACGTGAAAACACCGCTTGGTGAAAATCATGGAAATTCTAACTGGGCTTTGACCATGGCCATGCAACCATAAGTAAAATGCACATTCACATGAAAAATATGATCAGCGATATCTGTGAGGTATGGGTTCCTGAAGCATTACAAACTATAGGGCGCATGTTCACATGTACTGTTTCAAAAATACGACATATGCAAGAAATACTTTTTTTGAAAAAATGCAAATAATGATGTTTCAAGGAACTGTTAGCGTTTCTGGACTATCTAGCCCACCATGCTAGATTACCAAAGGTTTGGTCATAGACTTCTCTCGGAGTACCCCCTTGGAGGGTCCCTGACCCGGACCACTGGTCAGAACCCAGTGCCTGTCCATGTAGCTGTGGATTGCCGATTTTGGTTATACAATGCCAACCTTTGATTTCCCGTGTTTTTTTGTTTATTGTTTTTTTTCCTGCTTCAATAATATAAATGCATATGGTTTGACGATGTATTTTGACCGACCTCAAACCCCCTAAAGCGTGAGTTTTGGCAAAATATGCCCTGACTAAGTTACAGCGGTTTCATATGCTCTTTGGGCACATGTCAAGCCTTTGAAGCTGCACGTGCTCAAATCACCATTCTTTTCATCATGAAACGCGCCAAAAAAGTATAATTAATGCCTGCCTTTTGCTATCATCAATGAAAAAAATCGTTTCTCAATATGTCGTAACGACATTTCGGGGAACAACCATGAACCACCCCTCTAGTGCGGTGCAGTTGGCCTCGAAGTGCCTAAACCATTGGCCACCGAGCAAAACCTCCGGACGCAGGCGGCAGGTGAACGCGAAGACCCTTTTTCCATCCACGTCATCCGCGATCATCCCATTGAAACACGCCATATTTCTAAATTATTGGTAACAAATATGAAGAAATCTATTCCTGGTTGGTGGTTCCAGGGGTTCCAGCCCCTCTGAAAAATATGAGTTCGTCAGTTGGGATTATGAAATTTCCAATATATGTACTAGACGACGGATGGCCCGAGGGCGTAGAGGAGCAGGGTCTTCTCTTGTTAGTATGGAGACGCAATATTAGAAACGATATATGAAAGCTGTGTTATAGGCAGTCGAGAAGAGGAGTATCAAGACAAAATAGTGAGAAGTGCAAGACAATAGTTTGCATCGCAAACACTTTTACACACAGACGCTTTTACACACAAAAGCTTTTACACGCAGACGCTTTTACACACAGAAGCCTTCGCACACAGACACTTTTACAGACAGACCCTTTTACACACAGGAGCTGCTTTTACACACAAACGCTTGTACACACAGAAGCTTTTACACATAGACGCTTTTACACACAGGCACTTGTACACACAAACACTTTTACACACAAACACTTTTACACACAGGAGCTGCTTTTACACACAAACGCTTGTACACACAGAAGCTTTTACACATAGACGCTTTTACACACAGGCACTTGTACACACAAACACTTTTACACAAACACTTTTACACATAGACGCTTTTACACGCAGACGCTTTTACACACAGAAGCCTTTACACACAGACACTTTTACACACAGACCCTTTTACACACAGGAGCTGCTTTTACACACAAACGCTTGTACACACAAACACTTTTACACACAGACGCTTTTACACGCAGACGCTTTTACACACAGAAGCTTCTACACACAAACGCTTTTACACACAGACGGTTTTACATACAAACACTTTTACGCAGAAACACTTTTACACACAGACGCTTTTACACTTAGACGGTTTTACAGACAAGCGTTTTTACACACAATCACTTGTACACACAGACGCTTTTACACACAGGCCGGCCCATGTACTCACAGCGAAGTCATCGTTGTCGTGGCCACCTCAGCAATCCGACGGGGTGGTGCGGCGAAGTCCTATTTCCATGTGACTCGAAACCAGCATGTATAAACATGTCATGAGGGCCATGTGCTTGGGGCCCCCCAACCAAGGTGGTTTGCCATCTCCCCAAAAAGAAGTATAAACGGGCGGACCTGGCAGGCGGCGACCGTTTCTGGGCTGGGACACACAGGGATGACCGGAAAACAAACACGCCAAAGAATCAACGGGGCAAGAAAACAAAACATGTAAGCAAGGCTGCTTTTACACACACACATTGCCCCTGTCACACAGAAACACCTGTCACACAGAAACCCTGGTGCACACACACCATTTTTACACAGAGACGCTTTAAGACACAAACCCTTTTACACACAGACACTTTTACACACAAAAGCTTTTACACACAGACACTTCTACACAGATGCACTTCTACACGCAAACACTATTACACACAAACATCTTTACACAGAAACACTCTTACACACAAACCCTTTTACAAAGAGACACTTTTACACACAAAAGCTTTGACACACAATTGCTTTTACACAGATGCACTTGTACACACAAACACTTTTACACACAAACATCTTTACACCGAAACACTCCAACACACAAACACGTTTACACACAAACACGTTTTACACACAGAAGCTTTTACACACAATCACGTTAAAACAGATGGAATTTTTACATACAATCACTTATACACACCAACATCTTTACACAGAAACACTCGTACACACAAACCCGTTTACACACAAAGACTTTTACACACAGAAGGTTTTACACACAACACTTTTACACAGATGCACTTGTACGCACAAACACTGTTACACACAAACATCTTTACACAGAAACGCTCGTACACATAAACCTCTTTGCGTGCGAAAAAGTTACTCCAGCACACGAAAAATCGCAATTTTACCTCAGTTTTTACCGATCGACCCTCATTTCGTGCGAAAGGGTTGCTCCGGCACAGGTAAAATCGCAATTTTACCTCAGTTTTTGCCGATCGACCCTCATTTCGTGCGAAAGGGTTGCTCCGGCACAGGTAAAATCGCAATTTTACTTCAGTTTTTGCCGATCGACCCTCATTTCGTGCGAAAGGGTTGCTCCGGCACAGGTAAAATCGCAATTTTACCTCAGTTTTTGCCGATCGACCCTCATTTCGTGCGAAAAGGTTGCTCCGGGACAAGTCAAATCGCAATTTTACCTCAGTTTTTGCCGATCGACCCTCATTTCGTGCGAAAGGGTTGCTCCAGCACAAGTCAAATCGCAATTTTACCTCAGTTTTTGCCGATCGACCCTCATTTCGTGCGAAACGGTTGCCGTTTCGTGACTCGCCGCCGGTACCACCCTCGGCCTAAAGAGAGAAAGATAAAGAAGGCGAGAGAGAGAAAAAGGAGAGAGAAAGGAGAGAAGATGTGAAGGTGAGAAGATGTGAGAGAGGGTGTGAAGATGAGCCGATGTGAGAGACGATGTGAGAGAAGATGTGAAGATGAGCAAATGTGAAGATGAGCAGATGTGAAGATGAGCAGATGTGAGAGAAGATGTGAGAGAAGATATGAAGAAAGATGAGCAGATGAGAGAAGATGTGAGAGAAGATGTGAGAGAAGATATGAAGATGAACAGATGTGAGAGAAGATGTGAGGGAAGATGTGAAGATGTGAGAGAAGATATGAAGAAAGATGAGCAGATGAGAGAAGATGTGAGAGAAGATATGAAGAAGATATGAAGATGAACAGGTGTGAGAGAAGATGTGAGAGAAGATGTGAAGATGAGCAGATGTGAGGATGAGCAGATGTGAAGATGAGAAGGTGTGAAGATGAGAAGGTGAGATACAGACCCCCACTATTGGAAGAACCCTGCGCTCAGACGCTCTCGGGAAAAAATAGAAAATGATCCAAACCACCAACCAGATTGACATCAATGCGGGCCCTGGGGGTAAATATGGGTAAATGAACCTAACATCATACGGAGGCTACCATGGAAGCTGAATTTTTTTGAGCCCCTGGAAGATGAAATCATGAAAGTATATGAAAGTTCAGCCCCGAACTGGTTGGGCGGATGTCGGCTCACTATAAGATTGAACAACGTCGGTCATGGCCAAATAGCTTTGGATTTCAAAAGCCCAAGGCTGGAACTGCTGGAGGCCTCACGGGGGTAAGAGATCTGTTCGGCACTTGAACTACTAAAACTGATCATTCGCCTTGTGCTTTACCCACTTGGTGCGTCAAATATCATCAAATGTCAATTTTTTGCAACACCCATCACGATGATACCCGAAGAAACGAACTATGTCGCCAACTGGTTTCCAATCTAAGGACGCCAGATGATGTTGGTTTGACACCTCGTTTTTGGGGTGTCCGAGAAGAAATTCTATTGCAAACGCCCAACAATAACGACAACGGTCTGTGGCTCCCACGGCCAGCGTTTCAAATCCCAGGCGCAGGTTGGCTAAGGCACAGTGCCCGGCCAATGCCCGGCCCACTGCGGCATAGCCTCAGCATGTGTGAGGATTTTCTGGTAGAAGGGCCTCTGGTTTAAGGTGAAGGTTCTCTAGGAACCTTAGGAACACCCAGGTTTCAGACATGCGCAAGAAACGCCTAAGTTCTTGCCTGTTGAAAAACCTGTCCATCTTTGAAACTTTTCACCGAATTAATTCAACACAGCAGAAGGATTTTGCCAAGAGAATGACGTAACTTTAAAGTTCCAACCCAGATGCTTTCATGCGTGGCATGGGCTTCTTGTTGAAGAATCTTCGTCCTTGCCCGCGGGAGGGCTATGCTATTTAGGATCTTTCTCTTGTCGGCCTCTTTGCTTGCCATAGCGCTGGCAATGTCAACATCCAACCCTTTCCTCGGCTGGCCAAAGCTGCGCAATGGGCGAACACAATGTTCATGGGATCGGTTTTGTCCGCCTGCCCGTATTGAATTCTGAATGAACGAATGCCCCATACAACTCCTTCATGTACAATGTACAATATGCCTTGTTAACAAATCCTCTTAACAAATGACACCTCAAAAAAAAAGCTATTCACGCAGTGGAGTTTTTACACGTATCTGGCATCAACAGGGCTGCTGAACGAAACAGTGCAGACTCCCAAATCCCAGCTGGTTGGCTGAGACACACATCCCCAAGCATATGGAAGTCACGCAACGTCACTTGGTTTGTCTTGAGGTCATCATCATTATCATCTACTCATTTTCAAAACATTATATCACCAACTTGGTCACCAACAACATTTTTTTGAAAATAACAATATCACCCCACCAGCACCATCAATCATCATCAGAAGCATCTCCAGCCAGCCAGGACTCAGTAGGACTTCCGTGGGGAACTCGGCCTCGCGTCGGCTCTTGGCCAGAAAGCCGAGCAGCGGCATCATCTTCCTCTCCTCGCCCACCAGGCCGTCGGTAATGACGTGCGCGCAGCCCTGCTCTGTGGCCGCCACGTCCAGCAACAATGGGGACCTGGCGAGATAGGGGGAACTGGGATGAGGAAGGGGAACACAAGCACACGCACACCCACTAAATCATCTAAATCCATGATAGTTAACGGGGAATTAAGGACAAGTCATGATGCCCACGTAAAAATATGAAGCCAACATGGGCCAAGGCTATGTTGCCAAGAGTCCCTTTGTTGCGCTCTTCTACCGCAATCGATTGTTCGAAGCAGCACCAGATCCTCAAGGAGCCATTGGCGGATGGATAAAGACAGGAAAGCGAAGTGGAACCCTATGGTTTCAACATGTTTCAACATGTTCCAACTACGTCACAGACTTATGGCATCATATGGCATCTTGTCGCTCTTTTGTCTGAGAACCCTGGAGTCACTGTTGCCGTTGAGGATTGCTTTCTTGACTTTGATCCCTCGACATGTGCTTAATCAACCCTTGCACATCATGAAGGTAAGTTTATGAACCGCAAAAAAGACTTTCCCCACTGGCCGCTGGCCTGAATACTTACACTCATTCTTGGCTATGCCTAGTGCTCAAGATATTGCTGGCCAGTGTGTTTGCCCCTACGTATTGCAAGACCATGCGCAATGAAACCGCCACAAACCCTCAATTGTCGGCAAAGCTCCGCGTGAAGGGCGTGGCATTGTTGTCCAAGACCAACAAAACCCCAGCACACATCTTGATAGCACGGTAGAAAGAGGTCTTGCGAGGATTGTGGCAGATCTCTGCTTCCAACTGGTGCTGTTTGTTGGCATAGGCACAGACCCAATAGGCCGTCTGCTCCGACAACTGTCGCAAGGAGGCATGACGCTTCAGGCACGCCACGAAATTGCAGACCGGCTCCAGCCAAGCATGAGAGACAAACCTCAAGTCGAATGCAATTCATGTCGGAAATGCCTTCACAAGATCCCAACTTGTGGACATGTGTAAACACACTTCTTTCCTGTAGCAGGGCCAAGAATAGACCCCCAAATGTTTTGAAGTTTGGATCCAAATCTCGCTGTTGCTGATGGAAAATCCATGCTGCAAATTGACAGAGGTTGACCGTGTCTTTCTGTTGATCAGTCCTTGCTCGGACTTCTATCTGTCTCTTTTCGTTGGGCACAACATGCCAATGTCCAAATTAAAGGTGCCTACAGGTACGGGTTATTGCTAACGAAACATTGCGTTTTCTTGTGAATCTGTTAGCTAGTCAAGTTACCCTGCCTGATGAACAAATCGAATCGAATCGACGTGGTCTCGGGCGTTCTGCGGGTGCTTCCTATAAATGATCTACTTTTGTTGGTGATTTACTCAGTCGGTTGATCACCCATTAACTGATTATCGTCCATGTTCTCCATGTGTCATTAGATTTGATATCTCCCATATGTTTCTTTGGGTTTTGCCATCTTCTTGCCGGATGAATCTCAATGTTCTGTAGGTAGGTTCACCACTGTCTCCTATGCAGTATTTAAATCTCCCATGGTATTCGACCCATGCCTTACGGGATTTGGAAAAATATGGAAAAATCCGCGGCTTCACAATATAGTTTGACGATGTTTTTCCGCAAAATGTCCCCCTTCTTCCCCATCAAAACAGGTCATGGGCCATTTCCACTTCAGACTGAGTCGCCACAAAGGTCGCTGCATCTGTGCTGAAGTGGCCACCAATTCCACATAGCTGCAGCCACCACCGTTGTGCCCAGCCGTGGCGGGGCCAATCACCCAGAAATTCGCATGGTACAGATTGAAGGCCTCGAGCAGTTAGGATTTTAAAGCGAAAATCTAAAGCAAATCTGCCGGCTTTTGGTTGTGATTGTCTTTTTGCACGTGTTCGAAAGTCATGGAAAACCGGAAGGAATGAAAGATTAAAAAGATTCAACCATTGTGGGATTGAAACTGCCGTGAAATATTTCGGCGGGGTGACTGAGGGGTGGCGGGCATCTGGGACAGGAAACGGGGTGACAAAATCATGCAACATGAACAAAATGTGTCTTTGCATGTGAGTCACATACAGAACATCCTGATTATACCATAGCGTACACCTCCACTAATGTTGCCTTCGTTTTTCTCAAATCCCTGCATTTGCCGGCTGCGTGAATCACAGGCCGACCTCGAAAGACAACGGCTGCCCATAGGCCAAGTGATGCGCGTCACACCAACTGGAGGCGATATCCACTATGAAGTCCAGCCTCGAGAGCTAACCGCTGAGGTGTTGGGTGGCACCACCAGGTGACATCTGAAAAGACAACCCCATCTTTATCCATCTTTATCCATCTTTATCTGAAACGCGGATTGGAAACCACAGCGAGCCCATAAGCGGTGCTCTGGTGACTTGAAATGTGTCAAAATATTCACTGCTCAAATCTCCCGAATACAAGACCAACAAAGGCCCCCGAGCCGACATGCCATGCAGAAGAATGTGCACAACACAATTTCTACCCAAGCTGCAGAGATGACAATTGTTCGATTGTAACCCCTCTCAGTTCCGTCGCTGCAATGTGGATTGGAGGCCCAGAACTCAACCACGAATAGTTGGCAAACACCTGGGTGCGCGATCGCAGGGGAACAAGGCATTCCATTCCTCCGATATTCTCCGACTTCACTCTCACAGCACGTTTTTCCAAAAGACATGATTGACAGATCACGCTTGATCATGCCTATGGCAGACAAGACAGCCTAATCCAACAACTTGTCCACATCCTCTCACACCATGTCCGTCCGGAACTCTTAGAAGCACTGCTTCAATCATTCCGAAATTTTCCGACATGTCGGCCATCGAGGCACAAAATCGGCATTGAATTCGCGCAGCTGCTGCGTGGGGTCCAACTTCTGTGGGCCGCACGACAGCAGCACGTTGCCATGCGCAGGTTCATCCAACCTGGTGGCATTTTTTTTTGTGACGGCTGCATGAGCTGTGGGGCAGCCCTGGGGCACTGAAGATTAATTCGTATGGAAAATAGCTAAAAAAATACCTATAAACTGCCATAGATAGCTATAATCACTATAATATACTGTAATTATTATGTGAGATAACTATAAACTGCATACTGGCGCTTGAGCTACCTATCCGCATGAAGTAATTAAGAGCAATCATTGTCCCAAGTAAGTTGGAAAGAGAAATTATCAAACCGCCAGCCACAAAAAGGGTTGGCCAAAATTGTCATTCCGCACTCCAAGCCCACCACCATTCAGAAATGGCGATGAATCCAAAAGAACGTCACCCCAGGCTATCTTTGGCCCAACCTCCGCAATGAAATTTGAAAACCAAATTGTCTTCCAAGTCTTGTGATCTGCTGATCAAAATTCCGGCTAGGGACCAAGTCAAGGACCGCAAACGAATGTCCAAGGGCAGTGGAATTCACAACCCCTCTATCACAATCCCTCCAGAAGTGAATAGCACTGATGTGTCGGTATTTCGTGATGGGTTAGGATTGGAATCAAAGATTGCCACCCCTGGGCCCTAGGGGCGTATATTTCACCATCAGACGTTTCACATATGTTGCCACATACACTTTAACTGGAGATCCTCTAGGAATCCTGAAACTACCAAAAACAAAACAACAACTAAAATACACACCAGCCTAAGCAAAAATCCAGGCCAGACCCCAATTTCATTTTTCTGTTTAAAATCCACACCTGCAACTGAAACGAACCATCTCACATCCGAAAAATCTGCCCAGTGACACTTGTCGCAAATACTCCACCGCCTCCTCCGCGGTGCTGCTGGGACCGCACGTGAAGGTGCCCTTCTTTGGAACGTGAATGCGGGCCATGGCGGGTTGCCACGTGATGTTCTCATCAAAGTGGAAACATGTTTCTGTTTCTCTGCTATGTCGGCAGGCATCTTCAGATTCCACCCCTTTGCATCTTCACTTTGTATGACTCTTCAATGTTGTTCACTTAAAAGTTGGGTGGGTTGCAAAACTCCAGTTTGAGAAGGGTCCAACTGACTGTGCTGGAAATTATCATGAGAGATCATGATAGATAAAAATTGGCCCTGGCTGGTCTTCGCAGGTTGGGAACTTGACTTTACAACTGTCAAACACCTTTCTCTGCCACAAGCTTGGTTTCGGCAACTGGAGCCAAGCCGATATTCCAAAGAAACAACACACTGCCCCAGGCGATGCCAATCTGTGACATGTTCGGTCAAGTCACTGGGCACAGAATCGGACACATGGGATGGTTTAGTGAAAAGCCATGGCCCAAAGCGGCCAAAGCGGCCAAAGCGGCACGAATTTCTAACCCCAAAAGACATCTTTCAAAAGGTCGAAGGTTTGGTAATTTCCGCAGCTATCGCCGCTAGTGCTTGTCTACGTGTCATCAACTGTCTAGATCTAAGGTAGGGACAAGAAAAGACTTTGGGTTTTCCTGCTGGCTGCTAGCCATCCCATCATTGGCATACAACGGGAATCCATCGAAATCATTATTGTCCATCCAATTGGACGCGTGCTTCGACGGTCCCTTCTCTGTGCCGCTAGCGATTTCCAGCCCAGCTCCACCAGATTGCACCGGAAAAAAATTGCATCATTCTATCCTTTTTCCCAGCGAGGTGAAGCACGGGCTAAACATGCCACATCAAATTGTTCTTTGACAACTCTTCGAAGACTAGGCTTCGCTTCAAGAGAATAAACTTTTTGAGGCTCAGGAAACCGAACAATTTCCATCAAATTCTGGAGACAGAAGGTAAAAACCTATTCAATCCATCCACAGCTCAACGCAGTTTTGGCCTGGTCTGAAGCATCCACCTGCCGGGTCCAAATCCAGCTGGGTCGCCTTGGTCAATGGATTTCCACGCAGGTCCAATGTTCTGAGGCTTGGAATGCTGAAGAGCTCAGAATCCAAGGTGCCTTGGTCGTTTAAAAAATCCACACATGCTGCGAAAAATGACACTGGTGAGGAGACATGTGGATCTCAACCCCCCATATGTTGCGCCAAAAATGCATGCATGTACAGTACATTATATAATTGAAAAAAGAATTGCCCCCCAAAAAAAATCCTCAGAGAGAGCGTGTATTCGCACATCCTGCGTGCTCAATGGAAATCATTCAAATTCACATTCAAAGTTGCTTGGACCATGGCCAGCCAAGATGCTCAGTTTGTTGTAGCTCAGGTCGATGACTCTCAAGTCTCTGAAATTTCTTCTTCTTGCGTGCCATAGGGTTCTTCTTCTTGCGTGCCATAGGTATGGTTTGAACTCATGGAAGAGACTGGGAGGAAGTTCTTCCAAGGCATTTCGGCTCAAGTTGAGAATCTGCAAGGAGCCCAGAATCCTGGGTAGAATACACATGTGGGGAAGCAAGGGAAAACAAACAAATTTGTGTAGCATAGAAACTTTCACTAGACCCTCGATTCTCTAGTTCACATGTCCGTTCTAGACAATAGAGAGGAAGGTCAGGACTTGAAGGCACTAAGCAGCGCAAAGCACCCAGCGCAGAATTGAATCATGATTCGAAGATATTCGAAGCATGGGCACAGTCAACGGGCCGGCCATGCGATCGAAAACGCAAACCAAACGCAACAGAAAATAATTTAAACAAATGGGGGCACAAGTGTGGGCGAACCGAAGCATCATCAGTCAGGTACCCGGTGTTGCAAAAACTTGCGTTCCAACATTGCGGCAAAATGATGCTCGACTGTCCTGGCGCAGTTTTCATTTAGCTTAGGCTGGCTGCGGTGAGAGTAGGTGAACATTAAGTCCCGCTGTCTGATGTATGTGCGCGGATTCATCTCACTGCGAACAGCCCGCTCTTTAGCACTTCTATGGTTTAAATATATTTTTTGCTGCCACCGAACCACCTAGAACTCACACATGATCTTTAAATATACGCTTTGTTGCAAGATTCAAGGGTTGAAGGTTGCACGAAGGCATCCACCCCTGCCTATGAAACTTGATGTTCACGCCGACTATCATGACTATCCCCCAAAAGCGCGGCTATGAATGAACCACCTGTGAAATTGCAGTCCAGAACACCTGCTGCAGAAGTCTCGGCTGCGAAGTCCCCGCCACTGGCTAAAGGTCGGTCAATGGAGCAAAGGTTTACTGGCCACTGGCCACCGGTGCAAAACGTGTCGACATGTTTCATTCATTGCATTTCATTGCGATAAACTGCTGGTTTTCACACGTGTACGTCTGCTAAAACTTGATATGGCTCATAGCATGACTGATCTTGCCATGTCTTGCCAGTCTTCAGCCGCATATCTTTTTGCAACAGCAGCAGCAGCAGCAGCTTGGTGCCAAACAAGGCGACCGAAGCCCTTGTTCTTCAAAGGATTTCTGATCCGTGCGATCTTGATTTGCTTCTTTTCAATGGTAAGAGGGGGTGTTTTGAAAGAGAGCTGGGGCACGCCACAGTATATGAGCTGCAATCGGATAAGGGGAAAACAGTGCAAATGTCCAAATCATGCCTTCACCAAAAAATGATAAGAACCAAAAACACGTTGCCACAACACAAACACTAATAGTCTAGCAATAGTCTTTGCACAGTTGTGACACTGCAAAGTGACAATGCAAAAATATGGAAAAAAAACACGGCTGGACTATTATGACTATTTACAATCAGAAATGGCTTACATCTGGCCCTGGTTTGTTAGTTGAGGATCCCGAGCTCGGAGTGCCCTGCAAAGGCGTCCGCAGGGAGACTGGAGATCTCATTGTGGGCCAAGTTGAGGACATGTAAATCAGACCGGACATGCCTTTGTGTGACAAGTCCAACTCACTACTCATATATCTCGAATGGCGTCCCCAACAGCACCAAAAGGACAAGCCTCGAAAGCTTCCTGCATTCAGATGCGTCAACTTGTTGTTCTGTAGTAACAATCGCTTCACCTTCACACCTTCGAATGCTCCAGCAGGAACTGTGGTCAAGCGGTTCCGGTCCAGATTTATTGTGTCGGCCCTTAGGTAGTGCTTCATTTCCCTCTTGATGTTACGAAACCAAAAGGCGCCTGGGGCTAGTGCAGTCAGCTGCCTGTCGCTAAGATCTATGATGAGATACGTTCCAGCCGTATCCTCCCACAAGATGCAGCGTTTCAAAGCAACTGATCCTGGCGACACGGTGAAACACTCGCAAGGTGGGCAAAGCCCGCCCTCCAAAAGGCTCGCCAGGACGTTGTCTCCAAGCAGCATGGCCACCACTGCGAATAATCCACATGCGTACGCAATACTGAAAAGAACACGCTTCCACACTCCCCAGATGGGTGGAGCGGCTGGGACCTGAAAAAGCGCAACCCAATCTGCAGTTTCCAGGGATCGACACAGGCACAGCACATGTGCAACGCACACGTACATAGACATGTAAATCCAGAAGTTCTGTAGAAAAATGACTTCAAATCTCGCCAAGTCCATGTACAATGCCAAGGAAGTGATGAGGTAGCCCATGTCCAACGCAGCATCCATCATGGCCGCTCCAACCCGTGAAAAGACGCAATTGGGAAAGCAAAACATGAAAGCTGGAAATGCGATGTTGCAGAAGAGTAGGGCCAGAAAGGCATAGACAGCAATGTGTCCACGCAAGGCCACGGCACCTAAGGTTTCGATAATGTCATGAAACACGCTCGCCTTTGCAAAGGTTTGAATCAAGACAGTGATGCATTGCAAGGCCGCCACCTTGAAGGCATAGTATTTGCCTTGCACACCAAAGAAGGCCCGATAAAAAACCTGCGTTGGCCGTGGCCGCACCCGAAAGCGTCTCCGACGCCAACAACAACGCAGGCAGCAACAACAGCACTGCAGCTCCCACAACAGAATCACACCACAAGTCACCCAAGGCAGAGACATAGCAGCATGCCACAACGAGCAAAATCTCAAGCCAAATCCCAATGGCAACGTGTAGTAAGAAAGGAAAGACCCGTCGCAGACTTTGGATTCAATGAAGAGCGCAAAGCCAAAAGAGAAGCCACAGGCCACAAAGCGCAGGACAGCCGTCGCCAACAATACGCTCCTTGGTGTCTGTGAAAGACCCTCTTGGACTCGCGAAAGCTCCCAGCTTGCAGCCTCTGGCTTCAACCCAGACTGGTCGGGTTCAGACCTTTTTGTTTGGACTTCTATTCTTTCAGACTGATCCAATCCCTTCCCTGACTCGTAAAAAGGGTGCGAAATATAACGTCTTGGCTCTGTTCATATGATTCCTACGACTTGTCAACGGGGGATGAAGTTGCATTTTGAAAACCAAAGCTTTTTCCAGGGTCCAGGCCTTGGTTTGGTCCAACAAACCCAAGGAATTTGCCACCTCGCTCACCCCTTTCTGTGCCACCTGAAAGGACAAAGACTTTTCCAGAAAAAAGACGGTCGCCAAATAGCCCTCCACCGAAACCACCACCTGAGCAGCACCAGGTGGATCACCTGTCATCAGCTACTGGTTCGCTTGATATCTGTTGAAAAGGGATGCTCCCGGGGGGGGGCATTTCTTGGATTCGTGCATGTCACAATGAGACCAACAAGCATAAAACTCATAAAACCCAATAACTAGTGAACACCAACCACCAGGTATCTTTTGTGCATTTCTCACCTGGCAACATTTTCTTGAAGAGGCCATTGCGAAGAAATCACGGGCAGTCACAATCTGGACATCATGCATCTCCTTCAGCATGTGCCATCCATCTTGTACCCGCTGGAGGCTGTCGCAAACGACTTCACAAAATAAAATATCCACATCTCCTCCACGTTCATCTGCCTCTGCCGGGGGCTTGATCTTGGCCACAACTTCAGATCCCAGGCTGGAAAGCGGATCGCACACAGAACGCTGAAAACGACTCATGGAAGATCTTGCACGAGTGAAATTCGTTGTCAAGTCCAGGTCATTCTGCGGAAGCTCTTGCAAGGAGCCGTTTGGAGTGCTTCCTAAGATGGAAGACACGCTGATCAGGGGTTGGCTCCTCTCTTCGCTGGCTTGCAGTACTTCAAAGTAGCTTGCTTCTGTCGCAAGCGCCAATCTGAAGATCCTCTGCTGCATGCCATCCAATCGCTTTGCTGTGTAAAAACAGCTGCCAACTGACACTACCAGCAGCGTGATGCAAATGAAGGTGGCGGACATCCCGGTGCTTTCCTCCAAAAAAATGCAGGTCGCTGGCAGCAGGGACAGCAAAATGATCAGAAGCAACATCCTGCTTTGGATTTCAGCCGCGGCCTGCACGCTCAACAGGAAGATCAGTTCAAGCCAAACGCAAGTCCTAATGATTCCACTGGATGCCATCCTCCAGAAACGAAGTAGGCGATGCTTGTCGCAATAACCATGCAAATTTTGGTGCAACTCCCTGCCTTACGTGTCTTTGCTTCCCATGGTAATGTGAAAAGCAGGCTGTGTTTACGTATGTTTACTAAAAGTCATATAAACTCACTAGTCACTAGACCCCATACTGTATTGGCTCATTCATCATTGTTCTTATTCATTTCCAATGAGAAAACACCTTCACGAAAAAGATCCCTTCCAAACAAACCATCTCCACACCCAGCTGCAGTTCCTTTGGCTGCACGGAAACGGCATGTCCTTTTCCTCGCTCATCTCCGGACAGCTGGCAGGCCCGAAGGTCACCTGGTCGACAGCCGCAGATGTGAAGACGTCCTGGGTGCCGATATAGGGAGACACCGAAGAGAAACAACAGGTGATGCTGGGCGATTTTTTCGTAATAGTGGGGGGTGGATGCTTGATTCCTCGATTCGGACACCTAAAAAAACATTCATTCATACACATGTTCACCTGACATTAGCAAACTCAAGCAAAAATGAAAAACCCTCACGAAAGAAAATCTAGGGGGAAAAACTCGGACCGGCTTAGTAATTCCAAGCGTCTTGCTGTTGCGTCTCTTCAATGCTGATCCACCTGTCGGTGCGATGCCATGCCCATGTCGTCTTAACGGAATCGTGGAGAGTTTGCCTCAGTTCCATGGCAAATGATCGAATGACTGTTCACAGATATCCCTTTACGGCTGGTCTGATATAATTGTCTGCGCCCTCCATATAATGTACCGTACAATTTATTGGCAACCGAAGCCATGTTGACTTGTAACTTGCACATGGCCCCCCACACACCACGCTGACCACACCTGAACTTCCAGCGACCCAAGGTGCTTCGCCACTTTCGTCAGCTTGGGACAGCGGTGCACGTGCAAAACCAGCTCCTTCAAGCTCTGTCGACAGCTGGCTCTCGCCACTTCCAGCTGTAGCTCCTCGAGTCTTCGAGCAAATGGGCGGTTTATGTGACATTCACAAGTCATTCGATTTTTTGTTCCAAGGAATGTTATGCCACTCTGAGTCTCATGCCATGACACGGCA